ATCTTGTTTTCGAACGACTACAAAAAAATGGCATTACTGTCAACGTTCAGAAATGCCAATTCGGAACCGACTCATTAGACTTTCTGGGACACACTATCGATGCTCAAGGCATTCGACCCCTTAGAACCAAAGTGGCGGCCATTCTGGATTACCCAGAACCGACCATCGTCAAGCAATTACGCACGTTTAACGGCTTCGAAAGTTTCTATAGACGATTCATACCGAAATGCGCATTACTCATGAAACCTCTAACCGACCAACTTCGTGGAAATGCAAAATCCATTAATTTGGACGACACCGCACGAAAAGCATTCTCCACAGTTAAGGAACTTATCGCTAAAGCAACAATGCTCGCACATCAGGACACCGAAGCACCCATTAGTATCGCAGTAGACGCATCCGACTCGGCAATCGGAGGAGTCTTACAACAATGGGTTAACAACTCATGGCAACCCTTGGCATTTTTCTCTAGAAGGTTGCTAGACACCGAATCGAGGTACAGCACATTCGGTAGGGAACTCCTAGCTATGTATTGTGCTGTACGGCATTTCCAACACTACATCGAAGGTCGTGAATTCACTCTTTTCACGGACCATAAACCGCTCACTTTCTCGTTAAGCTCTCCTTCTGACAAGTACTCTCCCCGTGAGTCTCGACAACTGGACTACATTTCGCAGTTTACTTCAGACATTCAACACATCTCTGGAGCAAACAATGTAGTTGCAGACGCCTTATCTCGCATAACTTCCTTGAACAGTTTCCAAGGAATCGACCTTCTTAAACTCGCCTGGCTTCAAAAAGAAGACACTGATCTTCAATACGAGTTATCGTCTACGACAATCAAACTACTCATCAAACAGATGGGAACAGGTAAGGAAACCTTACTTTGTGACACATCTACAGGTAGAGATCGCCCAATCGTGCCGAAACATTATCGACGCAATGTCTCCAATACATTGCACAAACTTTCTCATCCAGGTGTTCGTGCAACCATCAAGCTTATAGCAGAACGGTCTTGCTGGCCTGGCATGAATAAAGACGTGAGGGAGTGGGCACGCTGCTGTGTAAGCTGCCAAAAACCTAAGGTTATCAGACACAATAAATGTCCCTTAGGCTCGTTTAATACTCCAGATGCTCGTTTCGACCATGTTCATCTGGATTTGGAAGGACCTTTACCAGATTCAAATGGATACTCTTATCTCTTAACCTGCGTAGACCGTTTCACTCGATGGTCAGAAGCAGTACCTATCAAGGACATCACTGCTGAAACAGTGGCCCGCACCTTCGTCGAACGATGGGTAGCAAACTTCGGTTGCCCTTCAACCATCACTACAGACCGCGGACGTCAGTTTGAATCTGAACTTTTCCGTCGTCTGACCACACTTCTAGGAATCACTCGCTTCCGAACGACCGCCTACCATCCACAAGCAAACGGGTTGGTAGAACGTTTTCACCGACAACTGAAAGCTTCGCTATCAGCTGCAAACGTTTCACAGTGGACCGACGCTCTTCCACTTGTCTTACTAGGTATCCGCAATGCAGTGAAAGCTGACATTGAATACACTGCAGCTCAACTCGTTTATGGGACGACACTTCGACTTCCAGGAGAATTCGTGGATCCTTCGTCCTTTTCAATGAACATGGATCTAACCTACTACACGAACAGGCTTACAAACGCAATGCGTTCAGTTAAACGTGCTTCCACTCGACCTCAATCAACTGATGTTTTCGTTCAACCTGACTTACGATATAGTACACACGTTTTCGTTCGTCGAGACTCGCATCGACGACCATTCGAATCAGCATACGAAGGACCCTTCAAAGTTCTTAAACGCGAACCGAAGTACTATATAATCGATAAGAACGGAACCAACGATAGCATCAGTATCGACCGCCTCAAAGCAGCGTACTTAGAAGGAAATCCTATCTACGTCGATTTTCCTTCGTTACAATCGAACGACACGACTCCACTCATAATTCCTCAACCGACAACCAACACTAGCGATGATACTCCGAATGTATCTGAAAATAAACCTAAAACGACGCGTTCTGGAAGAAGAGTAAGATTTCCAGAACATTTAAACGACTATTGCACGTAAGGCACTTCTCGACATTTTATATTATTTTTAAAAAAAAACAACTTTAATATGCTTATATATTTTTATTTCCCTTTAAAAAAACAAAACAAAAAAAAACAATTTTTTTAACGCTATTACGTGTTCATGAGTTGATTTTCCATTTTTTTCCCGCCGACATTGTGTTTTTACGCACATACCAGTGTATTTTCGACATGCACTTACATTTTCTTTTTTCTTTTCCAGGACGGCTGGAAAAGAACGATGACGTTTATGAGGATCCGAAATTTTTATTGTACATTTTCTTTGTTTACTATGTTGTACCTCCGTCCCATATAGTAAGAAAAGACGACCAGACGCTGCTAAACTTAGTAAGCTATCAGAAGAGTGTTTACCAACGACAAACTCGTTGGGTTTATACTTCTGGCTGGCCACGTCTTAGGGTCGTCACTGCCCCACTAGGGGGGGAGTGATCTGTAGCGGTAAATAAATCCCCAAAATAAATAGCTCTGTAAGTTTTCGACATTGGATGCCGACCATATGTTTTAGTGGACTCATCTAGCTGAAGGCGCTCGGTCAGGCATCCGCACCAGATCACGTGTGGTAACGCCGTGCTCAACATCAACCGCAATCGCTAGCCAGATTAGATCGGAGAATTCGGATATATTGGTCATCGCCAAATATACTCTTCCGATCTCCTCGACTCTGTCTTTTGATTTCTCTGGGTGGGAACGAAATACATTAGAAGGTGTTACTGGTAGAAGCGTTGTCAAACACTGAATACCTGTGACATCATCAACATTACCAATACAACTTTTAAACGGGAACTTGGTTTAAACCTTTGTTTGATATTCGATTCTTAATGAAAGTTCCTCAATAAATTTTTGAATCTAATGCTACTTTGTTTTATCTACTTAATCGTTGCAAGAAACTTGTGATAAGCGAGCCTCTCAGCACCTAGTTCATGTGTTCAAATGGTTGTGGACTGAATAGAAGAAGCTTTCGCTTAACAGGCTTCCGTGTCTAGTAGCAGGGGATCACCAATACCTCAAGGCGGAAAACTAGGTATGTTAACAATAAAAGAGTAAAAAGAAATTGGTAAATCATAGTTTGATACTATACTTAGTCCTTAAGAATAAACCCAGTTGCCTCTTAAAGGACTCCTGCGAAGTCGCTTGGACTAGCTCGGCCGGCAGAAAATTCCAGCACTTGACAACTCTTAAGGAGGAGAAGTTGTGCCTACAGTCCGTTCTGCTATGTTGTGTCTCTAGTTTCTGGGTGTTACCCCTTAGGTTAGTGTTGGAACTAAGCTTAATTAGGTGTTTTAGGGGATGTCCAGAAGTGTTAAGGTTATTGTAAGCCATTAGGTCATCTCTAAGACGTCTATACTGTTAAGTGATTGACGGCGCTCTTCATAAAGTGATTTGGTGCATATCCTCGTCATTTCCTTTGGAGACCTACGGACTCGGGTCCTCTCATAGCTTATTCTAACCACCATGGGTTGTCACGCCAGCTGATGGATGGACACGCGTTACACATCCTAACCGTACCTGCGTCTTATCTTATAGCTTCTAATTCAAATGCCATATGACATGCAAGCAATGCCCCTACCCGCACTAATGGAACACTAGTAACTCAAATGCACCCCGTATGGTACCTTACACTGGTTTACGCACTCTCTTAGCTCTTTAGTGAAAATCCCATGAATCCCCCTACCTCCATCAAAACAAATAAGTCTGTATTTGCAGCATATAGCAATTTTATTATTCAAAAGATATAACAGTTAGAATTGGAGTAAAATGGCAGTATACAGCAGATGCACGTGGTACATGTCTTCACCGATTAACTGAAATAGAGAATATGGATATTAGATTAACAGCCTTATTTAGAAAGACTAGTGTCTAATTTGAACTTACTGCGTGAGAAAGTTATACTGGAACTACGAATGTTGTAGAAGTAGAGTTTCTTGGGGCGTACAAAGCACTCAGACTGTAAGACAGTTGTCCAAAAATAATTCGAATATGGAGGTGAAAATTTGCAGGTACTTTTCATCGTGAGGGTGAACACATTAGGTACCAGTTGACATCATACCGTAAGAAAACGCATTTTTACGAGTGGTGAAATATGATCTATAAAAAAGTGAGCTTAATAACAGTTAATTACCTTTTTACTCCCTGATCATGACCCTTCGGCTTCCTTTTATGGCCAAAGCAGCAAACATACACTAGACACTGGTAGCAGATTTCCGGCTTTTCAATGTTAAGTTTGCTTTAACGCACTGAGTAATGAGTACAACCCCTCTATTACTGCTATATGGCATATTTTTCATAACAAACCCTCTGCAATAGATTGGTAGCATCTGTGATTTCATCTATAGTTGTCGGAAGTCTGGGTCCTTTCGAAATCAGTATCGATATACCCTACTGCTGGGCACTCTGTATTAGTTTGACTCGTTGGTGGGATAGTGTTGTCCATACTACTGAAGAAAATTTAAAAAACGCAGACTGTTTCCTTTCATTTTGCAGATAACATCATAAAGGACAGTTAGGAACGAACATGCTAACGGTTAGTCACAGGCGGCAGCAACAATTATTTTAGCTAAATGAAAACGAACTTCGGATATCTAGAAAACAAGGTAAAACATAACCGATTGTTGTTTGAAAACGTAAGGTCTTATGTTGGTACTAGCCAGCTAAGCTGAATAAACACAGTGACTTCATTAGAAGCAGGTAAAACCCAGAAAACAAAGCAACATCAGGAAAAACTTTGCTCCAACGTTCAGAGTATTACACTAACTTCTGAATTTTAGCACACTGAAACATCAAATTCCGTAGCTACACAAAAGAAATAGCTGAAAGAAGCACAGAACGAAGAAAGCCGACCGCCATTGCTCACGAAGATGGCGGATGTAATAATTCCCGCCTCATTCTGATTGGTTGCTAAGCTGAAGGGCACATTTACGAAATTGAGTTGCGCTTAATTGCAGCCGTAGTCTGTCTGTCAGTGTAATGTCAGTAGACTTTAGAAGATTATATGATAAGGTCTCTCACTTACGACTTATACTTTTACCAATAAGAGCGTCAACTAACGTGGCATTCTTGTTAATGAACAGTGAATACTGGTCATAATAAAACACCGTAGGTTCTTGTTTTTGCAATTTCTTGTTTTACTGTTTTAATAGTTCTTGTCTCATGGTCATTAGCAATATGTGGGCAATACGGGTGTGGTGGTTTAAGTAGGACAGTGTTCGGATGTATTTAGTGCTTCAATGTCAAATATATGTCCGCGTTTGATAGACTATATTGTACTGGTTGGTTCGCGATTACCTGGGAATGCGTACTCAGTGCAGTCTCCCGAGATTCTTTGTCGATTTCCTCCCACAAACCACAAGGATTTCCCTCTTCCTACAGATGTGTCTTTCTTTTGTCAGCCAGAAGGATGTATTCATACTTCCAGCAACACATTCCCTATAAAATCTTTGGATAATAACCTTGATGGGATAAAGTCGATGACATTTTTATTTTCGCTAACTGATAAGGATTCCAGTAAAACACGGTATGGTATTTGCACCAACTTCTTCAGACCAGTCAACCTTAGAAGTGTGAGTAAAACTACATATCCAAATGGCAGGGAAGGCGCACATTTTGGCGACGTATCTGGTAATGGACCAGTTCCATGTTCTAGTGAAAGTATCCCGGATAAATCCTTGCCATCTGGAAAACTAAAAAATACAAATAATGTCTATAGCTTAACGTCAATCTGTTTAATCACTCATTATCCTTTTGCTACAACGTTTGCACGGCTTGTGCAATGTGTACATGTAATTTTAAAGAAGCTACACAAATTGTCAAAACCCAGCTGTGTGGAAAGGTAAGATCGAAGCATTTGTAATTTCATGTTGTGGCATTTCTACCAAATTTTCGGGTGAGACTATAATTTATGAACGATCTTTAGGCGACGCTAAAGTGGCCTTGAGGATGTCCACTTACTGATTAGGGTTAAATGAGGGTTTCAAACCTGTGTGGAGGATAAGGATTGTGAATTACAGTTGATGGTTAGAAATAAGGATTAGATTTACGGTTTTCACGAACTGACATAAGCTAAAATGCCAAGGCACTGTTTAGCCAAATGGATAAAGAGTTTTGCGTCGAAATCAAAGGCCTGTTGTCGTGAATCTGACTGGTCCGTTCATACGTCACACTTTCGCCAATTTTCGAGTTTAGGTATTTCTGTTGTTAGTGAAGTTTAAGACCTAAAGTTTGCCACCAAATATTAGCCGCTTAAATAAGTTCCTCAGTTCTTGAGTAATGTCCTGCCAATTATATTCTAGCAGCTGATTGCACGATATAATGAAAGCAAATTTCACAATTTTATATCAAAAATTCGTTTAACCTATCGACCTAACCAGAATTTCTACCTTCATTTCACTATTACTTCGTAACCAAGATCATCTTATGATATGTTGATCTGGGCGAAGGATTCTTTGAATGATTGAGGCTTTTACTCGTCCCTCTCTCAGTATATATTTTCGATCCTTTTATTCAGTTTGCCATTGAATCACTTATGAGTAATATGTGAAGATTTTAACAGGGGGGTCTTCTGTCAATAATTATTCCAATTAATTTCTTCTGGTGGTTTAGCATCCACTTTGTGACCTGAAGGTTATAGTTTTGATCCTTGGAGAGGTCGTTGGTGTACACTGCATATGGAAAAGTGGTTCATTGATTAAGGTGTTTAATTCAGCTACTAAGCTGGATGTTCTGACCCCATCTGAATTAATTCTAGACAACCAGTTAGTATCAACAGCCCTCACCCTCACTGTCTGGAAAACAAGTGCACAATTTTGTCTCTGGTAAACAAGTTATATAAATAAATTAACTAGCAGCGTTCTTCTTCCACTACTTGAAGATTAGAGTTCTTTTAAATTTTTTTCATAATTCGTTTTCTGCGACCTTTATGTCTCAGTATTGTTCGTAAAACATGCCGAAATCAACTTTCGTTTTCCCCTAGGGGAAAACAGAGCTTGAAGCTTCAAGCTCTGTTTTACCCATCTTGTTTCACGAACAGTTACATCTAAGATCTATTCATCAAGATTTTAAACCCTCACTATAAATTATTCTTTAAAGAAGTTCTCGAGTAAGATTAAATGTTTTTCACATCCTACAACACTTGGATACGTTTTTAAACCGAATCGAATCAAGGTACAAATTAAACAGCTGAGCCGAACCTTGATTTTTCAGGAACACTCATTCAGGTTCTTAAGCTTTATATAACGCAGCAAAAGGAAATCGTTAAATTGATGGGATATGCGACCTGAATGAACAAGTTTTATAGTGGTAACTTACTTACGCCTGTTACTCCCAATGGAGCAGAGGCCGCCGACCAGCATTCTCGAACCCACTCTGTCCTGGGTTTATAGTGGTAAATCACAATATGAACATACAACTTTCTAATTTGTCTTCAGAACATAGCCCATCCCAGGTCACTTTTATGTAACTTTGTCGTTGACGTGCTTTTAGAAATAGCACTTTCCTGATCTAAATTTCCAGTAGTTGAACTTCTACCGGGAAATTCGCCTGTTGACTTAGAATATGCCGATGACATGGTTCTATTTAGTGAAGACGCTGAAAAAATACAGTCTTATGACCGCTCTAAGCAACAATGCAAGTATGTTCGGCATGCGATCCTCCCCCCTCGAAATGCAAAATATTGCTCCAGAATTGGGTTGCATCGACACCCAAACTAATGATGGAGAGTGAAGTAGTTGAGCGTGTCGGCCGCTTCACTTATCTTGGAAGTCGCATCAGCCCTTGTGGTCTGGTGTGTGACGAAATCTCAGCGCGGATACTGAAGGCTCGATCAGATTTTGCAAACTTGCGTCATTTATGGCGTAGGCGAGATATCAACCAAAGGACGTGTTTACAGAGCAGCAGTTCACTCCGTCTACTTTATGGCAGTGAAACGTGGCTGATAAGAGTAGAATATATTCGTAGTTTGCTAGTATTTGATCATAGGTGTCTTCGAAACATTGCTCGCATATCCTGGGACCATCGAGTAAGTAACGCAGTTGTTAGGAAACGGATACTAGGTAAGGATGGCTCATCAAGTGATGAAGTAGTAAAACTTCAACAGTTTAGATGGCTGGGACACGTGTTACGTATGCTCAACCACCGACTGCCCCGACGTCCAATGTTTTATGTGGTAGGAGTAGGTTGGAAGAAAGCTGGGGACGGCCAGACGAAAACATGGCATAAATCCATGAAGTCACTGACAAGTGGACTAAATCATGTTGGTAGGTGTAAACTACCTGATTGGGATCTGCGAGACTATAGCAACCGATGGTGAGATACCTTGAATAACATGGCTCAAAATCGTTTGCAATGGCGCAGGTTCATCCACTCTTTGTGTTCTCCCAAATTCTAATCTCCTGAATTCTTCATGTCCCTTTTTTACCTTTCCAAATTTGTTTCACTAGATTATACTCCTTGAATAACATCTTCAAACCCTAATCTTTCCGATTACTGCTTATATTCTTACTACCTCTACCACTAAGGGATTTCAATCGACAACTGCATCCCTGTGCTAATGTGGTATGGCAACTCGAACCGATGTACGTACGTACGAAGTTCTACGTTGTTACTGACTGACTGACGTTTATGTAATAGGACCAAAAACTTGATTCACCTAACTATTTACATTGTATTTCATGATTAAAACGTGCTTTAATTGATATCTGTTAGTGAAACTATTATCTTGTGTAAAATGTTTACTGTTATCGGTTAATTCCCACATAGACAGATATGCAGTTACACCTGTTTCGTTTTCTCCATGTTATCATTGATTGTTATGTCATCTGTTATTGTCTAGAGTTTACGTCGAGTACTCCTAGTTGTCCACGTTAATCATTAAGTCAAACAGCCATGAATAGAGCTTCAATTATGCACGGAATATTTAGTATTCATTATTTGATTTTTTTGACCCCAGATCCCTGTGTATTTTAAGTTTCCAATTGTTGATTTGCACTCAGTACTGGTGCTAGGTGTCATGACTTTTACTGATGTACTTGTTTGCAAAATACGACGTTTATAAGCTCATGTGTGCACATGTTTCAATAACTTGTTTTATTGATGTGTTTATGTAAGAGGGTTAGAAAAAAAACAAATATATTGGTTTCGAATATACCCTCAGGCTATGATTTTAGTCCATAGTTATTTTTAATTAAGACATCGCAAGTTCATTCTTTTTTTGAACTGAAGTAAGTTAGAAAAGTTGTCCATTTAAGTTCAACCAGGATGTCGCTTATAGGTTTGCCATCATGACTAGCCATTCGGCTAAGTTTCAACTACTTATCACCTATGAGGGTTTAAGCAATCATATAGTCGTCAGAACATCCTAATGCTTAAAACCACAGTGGTTTACTAAGTCATATTCTCATTTACTTTTGCCGATGCTAGTTACACATTTTAGTTATAATATTTCCTTTTCAGCTTTTACTTGATCAAGCTCTTAACATTTGTTTCATAAACGATCAGAATTTGTTATAGCTGTTCTGTTAAAAAAGACCACTAATTTTCTTTTCTAGTCCAGATATATGGGATGTATTGACAAGTAATATTACACTATCATGCTCTTATCCTGTTGTGGAAAGCACACGTCAGTTCCAATGTTGGATTCTCCGGCTTCTCAGTGCACCAGCACCAATTCCTGGCTGTACATGTGTATATGTAAGTATTTGTATTGCTTAATTTCCCTTCATAAGTTGTTGGAAGCAAATTTTGGCATATTTCATTTTCATTTGTGCACATAAAAACGCTACTGATTGTAAATAATTAATTAAAAGTCTTAAAAGTAGAAGCTTTCCAGATGAAAAACTTCGGTCTCAATATGGGTATAGCAAGAAATTCCTATCTCATTTGATTAATGTATAAACTACCCCTGAAGTACTCTGGATAATATTTTATCACTGCCAAAGTACAGCGTTAAAAGAGATGGTTTAATATAATTTAGTCAGTATTTTCAACTTATAAAACCCCCAAATGCCCTGGTATGGCCGAGAGTGGGGAGAGTCCGCTCTCCATCTCGAAATGCTCTCACATGGCCACGCGTATATAGCCTCTGTCAGGGAAGTCCTACTCACTGCCTTCTCGTGGCGGGGGTGTTGTTTACGAAAATGAGAGGACGAAAAGCGAATGTCCGGCGCTCTAACCGGATTGGTGGACACGGAAAGTCCACCTAAGGGAGTTGGAAAACCTTGATTCTAAACCAATGGTGCACATGGACTCCAGTATCCTGAAGGAACAAATGGCGTATGAATTAATAGTTGGCCACCGGCTACCATGGGACTGCATCTCCTCACGATGCTCCACTGCCTTATGGATTAGAGGTTTAGGTCAAAGGCTCGGGGTATGGCCCCCTAAGAAAACCACCTGCTTCGGTCTGGGCACCCGGGCAGTATCACAGTCCACACACATACAAATATGATGTGGCGCATATATATTTGGTGCCCTCTTGTACCGATATTTATGTGTTGAAATAAATAAATAAAATAAAACCTAAAATTTCCATACAATATTTAAAAAATAAAAGTATTAGAATAAACGATCGTTTTCGATAATTTCTTCATCAGACTCTACAGTTACAAAATCCATAGTTATTATTTTCCTGTTACGGTAGATAGAATATTAAAGTTGAAATAATTCATGTTATGAATTGAAAAAGCTAAAGAATATTAGGCGAGCCAATATATCCACGACTTCACATCACTCTAACATAAAATCAATCTATTTAATTATCTGATTAATAGAATCTGACATCTATATTCTATGGATAGTATAGAAGGAGAGCTAGGCAAATCATGGATCATACTACTACAAAATGGATACCATTGTAATTTCATAATGAAATACATAACTCAAACTGAAAGCAAGATATGGATTTCCACAGTTGAGAAGTAAACTGTATCTAAGACTATTTCAAGAGTGATGTAGTGAGCTCATTATGCATGAATTCATCAGTGTTAACTGGTTCAACATTTTGCTTAGTTATATCAGTTAGTCAGCTTTGTTCAGTAGTTTGTGATTAACTTTTAAGTTATATAATTTATTTCTTTATTAAATTATCAAAAATCCTCATAGTCCCTTTTTTTTACTGATTGATTTACAAACATTTGTGTTAAATTATCTAAATCTTGTTTCCTTCTGTAATAATTCAGCTTTCAGTTCAACCGCGAACCTTAGGTTCACCTTTGTGTTTTGCTCTTCCTGATCAATCACGTCTTCCTTTGGTTGATTTTCCTGTGAATCTGCCTTTTGAAATTATGGGTATCAGGAAAACTTTTCGGTTAATTATGTGTCTTCTATTGGAACAAAAAGTAAGTTTACTTGACTTCATATAATCAGGATCCTTTTTATGTGTTTGAACAGTCAGTCAGATATAACGTAGGACCAGACACATATATGCATCGGTCCAAGTTGCCATACCTCATTAACAAAACAAGGTGAATACACACCGAATTCATAGAAGTAGTTAATTCAGTGGTGGTAATATATAAAAGAAAGATTGCATATAAGGACATAGTACAGGAAAAAAAGAAAGATATGGAGTGATTTTAATCTTATGGTTTAAATGAAGACAGAGAGTGTATGCACCTACGCCATGTGATCCATTCTGAGCTATGTCACCAAGACTCTCCAACCATTGGTTACGATAGTAACGCGGACCCCAAACAAATAGTCTGCGTCTACCAACATGGCTCATACTAGAAGTTAGTGACTTCAAGCACTGTAAATAGAGATCATTTTTTAATTATTTAATTAATTAAGTAAATTACACATTTCTGTAGTCGATGTTTGACTGAACCCTTTAAGTATAATATTGGCTAGTGATAACCGGGTTGATCAAACAAAAATATATGAGGTGGGATTTAACCCTGCTCCCTATTGATCGATTTTACATTTTAGTCCAACTTGTTTCTTGTTTAGCTCCCACCTTCATATTTATTGATTGTTGATAGATTGTTTTCATCGATATATTTCTGTCTACTTTATTGATTTTGTCTCCATTGGACCTTATTTAAGACCATAATTTGACAGTATAGTGACGTAATTGTTTCTTAAAACCATTTTGTTGATATGATATTATGGCTATTAACTGGACTTGAAATGATGTGCATTCGTGTCAGCCCCTATATTGATGACACCTATATCTTCTTTCTGTTCAGTATTTTTCGTTTATAGAGTACCGGTAAAATAGACAACTATTTTATCATCCTTAGGACAATATATTTATATTACCAATAAGACATAAACCCAGCATTATTATTTATTATTTTAACACATAGATATTGGTACAAGGAGGCACCAAATACATATGCGCCACACAAATCTTATTCGATATGTGTGAGGGCTGTGATACTGCCCGGGTGCCCAAACCGAAGCAGGTGGTTTTCTTAGGGGGCCACACCCCGAGCCTTCGACCTGAAGGTCTGATCCACAAGGCAGTGGAGCATCGTAAGGAGATGCAGTCTCATGGAAGCCAGTGACCAACAATTGGTTCATACGCCATTTGTTCCTTCAGGATACTGGAGCCCATGTACACCATTGGTTTGGAATCCGGTTAAAGCACCGGACATTCACTTTTCGTCCTCTCATTTTTGTAAACAACACCCCTGCCACGAGAAGGCAGTGAGTAGGACTTCCCTGACAGAGGCTATATACGCGTGGCCATGTGAGAGCATTTCGAGATGGAGAGCGGACTCTCCCCACTCTCGGCCATACCAGGGCATTTGGGGGCATACATTGTTTCAAATACTAAGCTGTTATCCACTAGGCTACGACAAGGTCACTGTGTCCACCAACTTTTTTTATGATACTTATTGTCAATTATAAGGTGTTGTAATTCATGTTATTGTTATTCAAAACTAATAACATGTGAGCTTCTTTGAATTGCTGACAATATCGAGTTATTGGTTCAATGAGTTCATATTCCAACAAGGACTGATCAAAATCATCCTTAGATATTAACAACAAGACAATATGAATGCTTTTATTCATTGGTCATTTATTACTATGAATAAATGTTCATAGAATATGATAAGGAGGGCTTATTTAATACTTCGATTCTATAGTATGTACTAAATTTAACATTTACAATTATTAAAATAAGTCATGTTTTACTTACTTACTTACGCCTGTTACCCCCAATGGAGCATAGGCTGCCGACCAGCACTCTCCAACCCACTCTGTCCTGGTCCTTCCTTTCTAGTTTTATCCATTTTTTGTTAATTTTACTCATTTCTGCCTCCATTTCTTGGCGTAATATTTTCTTTGGCCTCGATATACGAATGGTAACACTATCTTGTATGAAAAAAAATGTATCTCTCTCAGTCGGCCTGTCATAATCAATACATAAGGTCTGGCACAAATGTTCATCGCCTCAATTCTCTACACCACACCATTACAACGAAATAAAAATTTATTAAAATTAATATCAAAATAGTAGAATTAGTACTATTAGTAGTGTTGGTGTTAATATAATAAGTTAGTCATGGTATAATAACTTGTACTTAATAAATAAATAAAATGAATGAAAAGTAATACACGGACATCTCAACTACGATAAGTAACCAATAGTTGGAAACTCTTAGTGACATGGCTCAGAACCGATCACAATGGCGTCGATGTATACACTCTCTGTCTTCCCTTAAACTAAGAGATTAAAATCGCTTCATATCTTTCTTTCTACGAACCAATTCTTTCTTCTTGTACTATATCTCTATATGCAATCTTTCTCTTACATATTACTACCTTTGACCTAAAAACTGCTATGAATCCGGTGTACATCTTGTTGTGTTAATGAGGTATGGCAAATTGGATTGATGCATATATGTGTCTGGTCCTACGTTGTAGCTGACTGACTGACTGACAACTACGATAAACTCATTCATACGTTTTTATTATTTATTTTTTTAAACACATAAACATTGGTACAAGGAGGCACCAAACATATATGCACCACATAAACCATCCGATTTTTGTGAGGGCTGGGATACTGCCCGGGTGCCCAAACTGAAGTAGGGCAACACTCCGAGCCATTGACCTATAGGTCTGATCCACAAGGTAGTTGAGCTACGTCACAAGATGCAGTCCCATGGCAACCAGTGACCAACAATAGGCTCATACGCCACTTAGTTCCTTAGGATCCTGGAGCCCATGGACACCATTGGTTTAAAATCAGGGTTTTTCAACTCTCCTCTGTAAATCCTCCATATCCACCAACCAGGTTAAAGTGCCGGACATTCGCTTACTTAGACTAGTCAGTTCATTTCTGCCAAATGATAAGGTAGAAACTTGAATACAAATAAATAGTTACTGTCGTAATTCAATAAATTCATGCATAGAACTCATGTATTTTAAGCTGTAAACACTTCGTTTTTCAATGTATGACATGAAAGTACACTCGCTTAATAAGTAGTTTTGAAAACGTCTATATTCTACATTACTAATAGTTGATAGTTTGTTTGTTTATAGCTATATGACTATCATTTTTACTGCTAAAATCTAAATGTTTTCTTTCATCTTGGATTTTTTTTATCTTTGTGTATAGAATCATTGTATAATTAATCTATATTATCTTATACATTAGTTCATATTTTCACTTAACCATTATATGTTCTAATATATTTTGTCTTCTTTTGTTATCTAGGTGGTTTTACAATCATCTGATTATAACAAGTTATCCTTAACAATTTTATCATTGGTTGCATTACTCTATCCACTTCAATATATGTTCCCAGTTATTCCTCTTCTACCTGCATGTATGCCTGATGCAGAACAGGTTAGTGTGTATTGGATTGAAGTGGTATTTTGATTAAAATTTATTATTATTATTATTCAATTAAAAGTTCCTATTCGGTGCATAGTCCCAATCATATTCTCTTAAACTATAAAGAACACAAAGTCTGGTAAGAATGTGTATCAGCCCAATTTGTTCTACATTTCATATCAACATATTGAGTGAGATAGAGAGAGAGATGTATAATTGGTTAAGTAGAAGGTGATCAATATTTTCAAGGAACTTAATTAAATGTTTCGATAAAGATAATAGATAGATTTTACTGCATTAGTACAATGGAATGTAAACTATGTAATCAGAAAACAAACCATATTATAGAGGCATATTGAAATCATATTGTGGTGTACATTACTTATACGGACAGACATGGTGATAATTGGAAGTGAAATGTTTACTTGCAGAAGATCGAAATAAAGAGAAGAGGTAGGAATACAGAGAGCGATTGGAACAACAGTAGGATTGAAAGGGTGATGGAGTATGTAATGGACAACCTAAGGAAGATATGCAAATGATGTATTCAATTTTTATATTTTACAAATGTACTGTATGATTTTGCATAAAACAATAAATTGGTTTACCATACCTTTTGTAGGACTTTAAGGTTCAAACAAACCCCTGAACAACTAAAGATCTCTCAGATTGTCCTTGAGTGACACGACTATGCTTAGTCTCCTATTCAAATACTTTAAGAAATGTAAGAAGACTAAAATGTATTCATTGTGTACCCATTCACAGCAGTATGGAAGTGATATGTAATTACATTTAATCCTTTGACTTATTTTATTGTAATTTACTCCTATCATTATTGTTGTGAAAAAAAGAACCAAGACATATCAGTGGGGACGCGGATTGCAAAAATGAGCAAGGTCAGCCAGTAATTGGACGAAAATCAGTGTAATTATTTCAGACAATCAGTATAGAGAATTGCCGTCGGTATCCTTGAACGACATTGATTGTTATTTTGCCATACAGCATTTTTCATTACCGTGCTGATTCATACAGAAACAGAAAATAGTTCTCCTTTCCGATCAATTGAGGTTTCTGTTTCAGCGACAGCAGCAGCATTTTAAAAGGAATCAGTTGGAATTTATAGACAAATTACACATATGGTTGCTGAATCATCCATACTTTATAGATGTGACGGGAGTTAATGAACTAATTTCTAAATTGCGTACAGAGCTGGAAAATGATTGCAGAACGTATGAATGTGTCGCTGAAAGCCTCTATGAATCCTTGACAAGCAGAAATGTAAACGAAGCAGTAGCGGTCATTCATGATCCGCCCAGTGGTCCAGAAACGTCCATTTCAGATACATGCCCTGTAGTGGGTTCAAATCCCATTGTCCCTAAAACACAATATACAAACACTGACTTGTCCAGCTCACAGAAGGTCGTTGTCTTGTTAAATGCACATGAAATTGTTGCAGTACCCGCCCACGAAGAAACAGAAAATGAACTAAGCAGTATAATGAAGACAGTTGCATCAATTGGAGCTCATCATGCCAGGACAAAAGTTCCTGATGAATCTACTCATCAAGGTTCTCTAGTTGTTTTACCAAATATGAGTTATCTTAATGACTCACATATTTTTGATCAAATTTCCTACAAAAGTGAGAAAAATATGTCGGACGTATCAAATGATGATCAAGAACCTAATGAACTTTTGATAGATGTTGATTATCCTAGTGATCACTTATCTACTAATGTGATTTTCAAGAAATTTGACGAAAATGTTTCAGAAGAATCAAACTTTAATGACCTCATATCAAGTGTCATTGATCCTCAACATCTAGTCAGTTCTAGTGGAATCTCTATTCAATGCGGGTAATATGTTTTAAAAAGAGTCACACTAATTGTAACTCAGGAATATGAGGACCCAACATAATTTCGTGGGGGGAGGAAGGATTAAGTCATGACCTAAACTTCGAGTCTTCAGGAAAAAGAAGAGGAGGTGACAGGAAGAAAAGTCAAAATTCGATTGATTCACTTATTATGAGTTTTGTTGAACATTACTTCCGTTTTGATTCAATATGATGATTACTCAATGTAGCGTTTGTTACTGTTATCTCATATGATATTTTATTCTGTATAACATACGATATTCTTGTATTAAAAATTGACATGAATTACGCTTAGCATACGATTTGTTATAACTGAGTATTTTTTATGTATGTGATTTCATCTTAATTATTAAACAAAATGGGTCTACGAATCAATATATAAATGAGTGTATTTTTGATCGGGGTCATCGTCGTCGTCATCATCATCGTGTTTTAGGGTTAATAAATTTTACTTTCGTGTCGTAGGAATTGCAGAGGTCCCTCGTTTCGAGTTTAAGTGATAAGCCTTTCCGACACAATAATCAACGACGACTATATATAAAAAGTAGCATTCAAACAACAAAACATCAGTGGCGACGGGGATTTCGGAAAAAAATTGTGAAGACATGTCAGTTATCCTACTGACCCGTGCATACCATCTCCAATTTCCACCTCTATTCAGAATGCCATCCAGCATCTTAAGGCAGTTTCAAGTCTAAAATAACGAGCACTACATTATGCATTTGTAATTGGTATTCGGTACACATCACTTGGCTGGATAATATTAATAGTGTCATTCTTAGGTGACTCACTTTAAGCAATCTATATCTTGATTCTAAATGAGTTTTAAAGAAATTAGATGATGATATTGAGTGATTGAAGCGCTTAACCTTCAAGTGTTACGTCACACGGGTTGGAAAGTGATAAACAAGAGTGATTTCTAACAAAGTTCTCGGCTTCCGTAGTTATCAATCACCTCAAGATATTTAACATTGGAATGTCGTGTTACGTGATAGCTATTGTCATAAACTGGATTTTTTCCTTCCATGTGTCGAAATCCCATTTTTCTGACCATTATTGTAACCTGAATCTTCTCCACACAGCTCAGAAATACCAGCTTGATAATAGACAGAAGTTAGTGAAAACAAGAATAATTGTTCTGAGTGGGTGCAACACGGTCACTGTTCAATATTATGCCTGAAAAACTCTTGACCTTCTTTCAACTATTAAGAATAGAAAGCCTACCCTACAACTATGAAGAATGTACATTGGATAAAAATACCACTTATATACATAGTTTCTTCGCAGTAATTATTATTTTAATTCAAATAATCAGAACCTAAGTGAATAACTCACTGACAAAATATCATGCTGAATGGATGTATAACAGAAATTGTCGGAGGGAACTCGATTATCTTATTGAAATAATTGGTCATTTAAATCATCTGAACACAATTGAGTATTATAGTAAAAGATTTTCATAGTAAACTAATCCATAATCGTACGTTTATCAGCTGTACCTTCAGATTTTATAGAAAACTAAATTCTAAACTCAATAACTGAATGATAGTTTGTCTACTTATTTTTTTTGCCAGAACCAGAAATAATCTCAATAGGTTACTTAAACAATTAGATTAAACTGCTTTTGAAACCACATGATTTAATTAGGGGTTACTATTAAAACTTGTGATTACTTGTGCTCACCTACGACCCTACCCGAGATTGAGTAAAGACTTTCAGGTTAATCATTGGAACTGATGAGTTAGCGTCCAACATATATGATTCCAACTTCAATCAGTTTGAGATAATTTAATAGTTTGTAATGTGTTTGAACTATCATGCTGAATTACCTTTTACTTAATGATTACCTATTCCTATATTAGAAGGTATTTATCACTTATCTAGATATATTTCAGTTAATTAATCATTTTTTCCCTTATTTCTCATCTGTTTTCTTCTTCAATGTGAAAATAATCTAGCTTTTGTTAGCGCCTACACCCTATTTAATTGGTGTTCCAACAGCATTTTATACTGCACGGAAAATTTTTCGTATGCCTAAAGATGTTTGGTTAGCTGATTTGGATACTCGTGAAGTATGTTTAATTGAATTTAATATTTTTTGTTTTGTTTTTGGATTGTTATTTGGGAAAAAATTGTATCTCTACATTTATTTTCTTTTGGTTTTCTTGTTAAATTTATGTAAGAGGGGCTCATTGTCTATTAGTAGTTTGATTTTCTCTCTGATCCTGTAATCAGTTTTTAGTGTTCAATTTGCAATGATTAAGCGTCGAATAAAATTTTTTATTATTCGCGTTAATTAATGGTAACAACAAGGACTTGGAATTAGTCTAAAACCGGTTAAACCTGGAAGCACTGGATGGCCGTTTTGTTCTATTGTAGAGCTTCCCGGCGGTGCGCATCCACGACCCCGCCTCGCGGGATCCGAACCCAGGACCTACTGATACTAAATAATATATGCTCACTAGTGACTGGCTTCAAGATGTATATCCTGGAGTCTTAGTGTAAAGCAGTGACCAGTGGTGAGATAGTAACTCACTGATGACAATGGTGGATGTGTTGCTCAATTTCGTAGATTAGTTGAAGTTAGACATTAACACCGTTGAATGCCGGCTGAGTGGTCTGGTTGTTAAGTGCTCGCGCGCGAGACTGATAGGTCCTGGGTTGGAATCTCGCGAGGTGGAATCGTGGATGTGTACTGCTGAGGAGTCCCTCAATAGGACGAAACGGCCATCCAGTGCTTCCAGGTTTTCCATGGTGTTCCAGTTTTAATTGACACATGATCTCAACTACTGAAATTACTAAAATCTCCAGAAAACCCCTTCTGATACTAACCGGTTAAACTTTTCGTCATCGATTTTTTTTATGCTTGAAAAAATGTTTCTTTTAATTTATTGTTGTCCACTTGTCAAATAAGAATTTCAAATTGATGTAAAACAACTTGGATGAGTATTATAAGGGGTTTCTAGAGATTTTTGAATTTTGTAGTTGAATGGGCTTCACTTTAAGTCATTCAAAGCTAGGAAGCACTAAACAACTGTTTTGTCCTAGTTTAGGATACCTCACCAGTGCACAGTTATGCTCTCATTCTCGGGTGTGAAATCCAGAACCTACTGTCCTGTGTATGAGCGCTAAATTTCTTGAGACCACTGGGTAGCGGCCCAGTGGTTTACACTTTTGACTTCAATTACATCCTTATTAGTGACTATGATCAGGAGGTGATCTCGTAGTTTTAGTTGGAACCGGTGACCAGTGGAATTTAGTCATGTTGAGTTTTAGGCAATTACCTACCAAGTATATCGGAAGGCGATTGCACAATATATCAGTGGGATTGGAATGCTTACATACCAACTGGGTGCTTGATAATAATACTCAACGTTATTTCGAAATCTTTCACTAACTGTAATGAAGACGTTTTTGATTATATATATCTTGGATCCATTCAGTTTCATGTGGTTTCGTTTTTCTGAAAAACAGTGACTGGTTCGTTTCAGTCACACATGAAATTCCTATTATTTGGTCTTATGTAGGGTAGGCGGTTTGTAGCTAGTGGTTTAATCAAAGATGTGGATTTTCTCCTATCTGGGGTTCATCAGCCGAATATACTTGCTCCCCCATAGTATTGATGTTGAAACTGGGACTCGAACCCAATGTTCTTTCAGTTCAGTTTTACAGTTTACTATCTGTGGTTTTCAAAGCCTTAAAAACCACATTAAGGTTAGTCATCGGGAAGCTAAAACTTTGTCGCTGTTTTTCAGCTTTTAAGCTTCCCAAGTCCCTGGCCTTGTCACCGAATGAATAGTTCCACTATAGTTGAGTTCTGGGTTTACGGAATACATTAGTAAGGAACATGCCAACTGTTAGAATTTCATCAATTAAAATTAACGATAACTTTGGCGTTCCTCTCGGGAGTCTGGTGTAAGATCCTTCCGAGAATTAATCAAATATCAAATTTATGAAACATGAATAAGGATTCATTATAATAGCTGTATCAAATGAAATAGTTTTTCATATATTTGACATACATTTGGTACTACTAAGTAGTTGATAAAACTAGATTATCTGAATACCTCTTTGTTAAATAGTATTAAGGCTAGATCTAATGAAAATTGCTTTATTGAATGAATGAACTAAAATCAATCAGTCTTATATATTTATATTTATTTATTTATTTTAACACATAGATATTGGTACAAGGAGACTGACTGACTGACTGACTGACTGACTGACAAGGAGACACCAAATACATATGCTCCACACAAATCTCATTTGATATATGTGAGGGCTGTGATACTGCCATGTACCCGAACCGAAGTAGGTGGTTTTCTTAGTGAGCCACTCCCCAGGCCGTTGACCCGAAGGAATAATTCAAAATACGGTGGAGCATTGCAGGGAGATGCATTTCCATGGTAACCGGCGACCGACAACTGTTTCATACACCATTTGTTCCTTCAGGATATTGGAGCCCATGTGCACCATTGGTTTGGAATCAGGGTTTTCCAACTCCTCTAGGTGGATTCTCCTTGTCCACCAATCCGGTTAGAGCACCGGACATTCACTTTTCATCTTCTCAAGTTCGTAAACAACACCCCGGCCACGAGAAGACAGTGAGTAGGACTTCCCTGACAGAGGCCATATACGCGTGGCGATGCGAGAGCATTTTGAGAAGGAGAGCGAACTCTCCCCACTCTCGGCCGTACCAGCGCATTTGAGGGCATAATCAGTCGGTCAGTCAGTAACAACGCAGAAATTGGTACGTACGTACATCTGTTCGAGTTGCCATACCACATTAGCACAGGGATGCAGTTGTCGATTGAAATCCCTTAGTGGTAGAGGTAGTAAGAATATAAGCAGTAATCGGAAAGATTAGGGTTTGAAGATGTTATTCAAGGAGTATAATCTAGTGAAACAAATTTGGAAAGGTAAAAAAGGGACATGAAGAATTCAGGAGATTAGAATTTGGGAGAACACAAAGAGTGGATGAACCTGCGCCATTGCAAACGATTTTGAGCCATGTTATTCAAGGTTTCTCACCATCCGTTGCTATAGTCTCGCAGATCCCGATCAGGTAGTCTACACCTACCAACATGGTTTAGTCCACTTGTCAGTGACTTCATGGATTTATGCCATGTTTTCGTCTGGCCGTCCCCAGCTTTCTTCCAACCTACTCCTACCACATAAAACATTGTACGTCGGGGCAGTCGGTGGTTAGGCATACCGACTGCCCCATCAGCATACGCAGAGAGATTCATTCAGATCTTCTTAATGAATAATACATAAGTTCAAATGCCTATTCTGAATTTTATTGTTAATGTGAAGTAGTATTTATAACTCATGAAATGTACATGATTAATTGAATTTTATTATTAAACCAGTTGATGATAAAATACAGTTTACAAACTTCAGTATTTATGGTTAATGAGAATTGTCAACATGTTGTTTTTGTTTATACTCCATTTTAGTTATCTTATCCTATGGTGGTTGATGAAATACCAGAGTTACCTGAAATAGAAAGTAACATTCTTATTAATCATTTAAAAAAAGTACGTGCATATTATAGTAATTTTAATGTTTGAAATCATGAGTTGATTGAAGCTAGACCACCATGGAAAACCTGAATGCTGGCTCAGTGTCCTAGTGTTTAAGCGCTCACGCGCGAGACTGATAAGTCCTGGGTTCGAATCTCACGAGGCGGGATCGTGGATGAGCGCTGCTGAGGAGTCTCAAAGTAGGACGAAACGGCTGTTAAGTGCTTCTAGGCTTTCCATGGTGTTCTAGCTTCAATTGACTCATGATCTCAACCATTAAAAGTACGTGCATTAGATTTTTTTTCATTCTTTTACGGTGAATGTATTTATTTTCTGTGTGTAAACAGTTTTTAGTGACAATCTGATAAAAGTGTTATTTCAACTATAATAGGTTTTCAGTCAATAGTTTGTTTCCTTTTTTAGCCATCAAGGATTACAGTCAACATGTATTATGACTGACTAATTTTCTTAGCTTTTTCGAAAAAAACGTAATACGTCTGTGTGATCTGTTATTCGACCCTCTTTTATGTAGTCTTCTCACTAATGTTCAAAGTTTGGGATCAGAATTGAATAAAACTATTATTCGTAATGGGCTAAAGACTCAAATAACTTTTAATCTCCAGTTGAAGCTGGAAGCTGTTACATTTATGTTCTTCCCTAACCTGATTGATCAAGCGCTTATAATTATAATCGATTTCACTTTTTCTCCGGTAGCATATATCACATCAAAGTTACTGGTAAGAGACATCGATAACTTTTGATTTTTCTTCACTGAATTCACATTAGAGATAGTAAACCTCCTGTTGTATTTCTGCCTTCTGCTTTGGCTCTGAGTTAAAGCATCGAAAGTTTATATGAGCTTAAAAGCCTGTTAGGAAGTGCGCATCTCAAACGTTTTAATGTACTAGATGTAACAATATTATCATTATTGTTACTTTTGTTCTAGTTTGTGAACTGTTTTGTTAGGTTGTTTTTTGATGTTTCTGTTGTGTGTACGCAAAATTCAATTCTTGATTAATCAAAGAGCACTGTAGATGTATTGATGAGTAGTTCTGAAGATATTGATACATAACTAATAAAGAGTGAGTTATTAATAACCTTATTGCGGAAATACATTAAATTACACAAAAATTAAATTAAAGATCATCATTTATCTGCTTCAACAGATACATTGTTGACTGAATTCTTGGGAAAAAAGAGTGTGTGTGTGTGTGTCAGTTTTACTGCAGAAGCTGTCGATTTCCTAATTGACTTCATTCAAATATTCTTGACTGGTTAGAAAACTGGAATTAAAAACGTCAATTCATTGTACAATATTAATTTAAGAATTTGTATTTTTTCCGTTGTTCATATTTAGTATCGAATCGATTTCTCTCTCAGTTGGAATATCAGCAATCAGGTACAGTTACGAACAGTTAACGAGTTGTGAATTAATCGAAATTCATGTTTATTACTTCTCACTAAAACTGTCTTACATGTAAATTTGATTGCAAGTTTCCAACTATTCATATTGTGATCTTATCTTCAAATTCTTTTTTTTTTACAATGGACTTATCAGTTACTTCACGAATTTTCAAGTTCACCTCATATTGATTTGGATTTGGATGATTCTTCGAAACATTGGCCTGTTTCTGTAGCACGTACAACTGCATTTGAGTTATCGAAATTCGATCCTTTATTGTATACACTGACAAAAGATTCTGTTGATGTCGGTATACGTGTATCTATGGTAAGCGGAACTGGTAATAACACTAACGATAATAATATGTGTAGATTTTCCATTAGTATGGCTTTGTAAAGATCTTTTTTGGCATCCCCCGATAAGTTCCTCGATAAATTCTTCAATATTCAGGAAAAGGGTGAAAACACTTGGTCCAATATGCATCCATTTTCAGTTTCCTAAAATTAATGGGTCATGTACCGTACTCTGATTAGATAGTTACTTTCGTTATTATGTTCTACATGCTTCCAAAAGTTTCTACAGGGTCATGGTTATACATAAACCTTTAAATACTCTTGATCTTCTGCATATAAAAAAAACTGTGAAGTAAAGCATCTGTTCTTACTTCGAACTTTTCATCCACTTTTGGGGGCTGCAATGTAGGGAAACTCTGAGGATTTAGGAAGCAGCTAAGAAGTCAGTATTAAGCTTTTGAATACAAAAATTACTGGTCTAATACAGCTTGAATGATAATGCTATTGTAGACCGTGGTAGGAGTAGATTGAAACCGAAATGTTGAGCCAGTCTATGAAATTACTAATAGTTAATCTGAGGGATGTTGATAGGTGTAGATATGGTCCCTTGATATGGTCGAGGGGGGAGAATCAGCTCTCCCTCTCGAAATACTCTCACATGACCACACGTTTACGGACACTGACAGGGAAGTCCTACTTACTTCCTTCTCGTGTCGGGGGTGTTGTTTACGAAACTGAGAGGACGAAAAGCGAGTGTCTAGCACTTTAACCAGGTCGGTGGATATGGAGAATCCACAGAGGGGTATTGGAAAACCCTGATTTCAAACCAATGGTGCACATGGACTCCAGTATCCTGAAGGAACAAAAAGCGTATGAACCTATTATTGATCCCCGGTTACCATGGGACTGCACCTCCTTACGTTGCCCCATCGTATTGTGGATTATTCCTTCGGGTCAACAGCTCGGGGAGTGGCCCTCCTAAGAAAACCACCTACTTCGGTTTGGGCATCCTTGCAATAACCCAGCCCTCACACAAATCAAATGATATATGAAGCACATATATAGTTGGTGCTTCCTTGTACCAATGTTTATGTGTTTAAATAAATAAATACTTTTTCATTCTTTCTCGAACCATAATATCAATACATAGTTTGCCTATCATACCTATTATAGTTATTTCGACTCTTTCATATCATTTTGCCGGCATAATTATAAGAACTTAGGTTGACGTATGTTTCTCATATGATGATATGGTTTGATTATAACCTGTCTGATTTATGACAAATTGGTTTCGTTAGATCGACCTCTTTTTAATTTAACTTTGTGGATCTCGGCTTTTGCTTTTTTTATGAATCATAACAAATAAGCCTTGTACAAATTTCTTAATAGATTCTGTTTTGTAGACAATTGATTGATTGGCTAATATCATTATTCATTGTTTCCCTCTGTTTTATAGATTCTCTTCTTCAATACAAACAACATTCTAGGTGGATTTACTAATCATATACGTACTTTACGATTATTTCCTCGGCCAGTTGTTGCATTCCAGTATGAAAGTTTTATGAAGTCTCGTCCAAAGCCATGTTTGTTTACTAGCATGCTTGCAAAAACTCAGGTATGTACCATTATACAAATCTATATGCATATATTTATTTTTCTGAATGTATTTAAACGGCAGTTATGTAACCGTTTCATGCATCATACTATCGCTCCGTATATTTATGACATAGACCATGTTTCAAAGACTTGAGCATGCACAATCAGTCGATTAAACTATAACAGCTTTCGTCAATGTGTTTTTACTTAAGTGACTCCGTTTCAGATTTTTTGTACCCTACCCTCCTCGTAACATGACTCGCTGCACTATCTATCGACATAAGTAGTATGTAACACCAATAGGAAGTGAAAACCCTGGAAGCATAAAGCTATGATAGTCGACTTGAAGGAAACATAAACAGAAATAGAAAGGAATAGTGAATCGGAAGAATCATACAGAATGTAACGTACAAATGATGAAAATTCGCAAGTGAGATGTTCAATGTATCGTTCTCATATTTTAACAAGAGATCCTGTAATTTTGTATTAAATAGTAAATTGGTTGTCCCAACCAGAGTGTTCGTTCATTATAATACTATTCGGTGCCCGAAACCGAAATAGACGAGTGTATGATCTAATTGGCTAGAAGCCAATTGTTAAACGTTCAGTCAGTCAGTCAGTAACAACGTAGAACTTCGTACGTACGTACATCAGTTCGAGTTGCCACACCACATTGGCAGAAAGATGCAGTGGTCGATTCAAATCCCGTAGTGGTGGAGGTAATAAGAGTATAAGCAGTAATCGGGAAGATTAGTGTTTGGAGATGTTACTTAAAGAGCATAATACAGTGAAATAAATTTGGGAAGAGAAAAGAAAGAGACAAGGAGGAATAAGGAGATCAAGATTTGGGAGAACACAAAGAGTGTATGCACCTGCGCCATTGCAAACGGTTTTGAGCCATGTCATTCAGGGTCTCTAACCATCGGTTGCTATCATCTCGTGGTCCCCAACCAAGTAGTCTACACCTACCAATATGACTCAGTCCACTTGTCAGTGACTTCATGAACTTGTGCCATGTTTTGGTCTGGTCGCCCCTAGCTTTCTTCCAACCTATTCCTATACCACTGAACATCGCACGTCGAGGAAGTCGGTGGTTGAGCATACGTAACACGTGTCCCAGCCATCTCAACTGATGAAGTTTCACTACTTCATCAATTGATTTGCCATCCTTACCTAGTACCCGTTTCCTAATAACTGCATTACTTACTCGATGGTCCCATGATATACGAGCAATGTTTCGAAGACACCTATGATCAAATACTAGTAACCTACGAATATATTTTGATGCTTTTAACAACCCAACCTTTATTCTGATTTGATTCAGTTTTATATAGTTGCTTGTTGTTTAATACATTATTTTCAACTCTTCACGACGAAATCTATCGATGTAATTTTATCATTTGATCTCATATTTTTATTAAGATGGAAGGTTTATAGAGTTTCTCCAGTTTCGAAGATTTATTGTTGTTATAACCCTAGAGAACTGATACTTATTACAAGAACATTATGTAATTCGCGCGACACAAAGAAGAAGCTGAAGCTAATGACGGAAGCATATTTTATTCACCTTCCAAAAGACACAACTATCATCTAATCGACTGATTTCGGCTTGGGAACCGTATAAAATTACTGGAAATTAAATAACTATTTCTTTTTAGCATAGTAATGTTTAATAAGTAACTCATTCACCTGATAGTTGTTTATGAACGACACTCAAAGTTTAAGAATTACTGGTATTGCTCGGTTTCTGAAATCGAAGCAGGCAGGTCGGAGTTCGAACATGAAATCTACCGACTGAAATCCGGACGCCCATATCACTGAGATACAGCTCTGATTCTTAGCACACAGCTTAATGGTACTCACCAACGACCCCGTTAGTGATTAGACCAAGTACCGCTTACAAGTCTCGTGATAAACGTATTACCTTTTAAAGACTACAAAATTGGTATCAAGTAATAGTTCGCATCTAACTTCATCTAAATTATCCATCCTTTTTCATATATTATTCTAGGCTGTTGAATATTTTGCTGAATCTTCAATTTGTGCATTGAATGAAGCCTATCAACGTATCTGTTCAGGAGTTTATTCCACAGAATTAATTGGTGATAAGTTATACTGGTATAAAAATCAATTAAAACCAGTCTATTTTGATTGTTGTGACAAATTAATCGATTATGCCAATGGTACAGCTACTAATACACCCATATCAAACCCATCATCTCCCAGGCTTAATCTATCCTTATCGAATTCCAACCAGTTAATGTTATTTCAAGCTTTTGAATTAGCAAAACGTATCATAAATAGACGATGTTCTGGTGATATAAGTACAGAGATTGATACAGATAGCATAAATAATGATAAGAATAATTTGTCGAATGATGCTCAAACCAATGATTTTATTGGTTAGTATATTGTTTTTGACATTTTTAATATTATGCTTCTTCAGTAAATTTCAAAACATCTAGTTTATGCTTTATTTAATTCTGATGCAACTACTAATCACCAAACAATGTATAGGCTATAAAAATAAAGGGATAGCTTTGTGAAGATATAAAAAAGGGAAGTAGAGTGCCAACCACGAAAAAAATAAGTGAGCATGAATGGTATACGATAAGAGAATAGAGTTCAGTTGAAAGTATAACCTAGAAGGGATTTATTTTATCTGATGTGTCGTCGCTATTATGTACATATAAACTCTGTTGAGTCTGCAATCTTACTGCTTATATTGGACAATCGGGAACCATTTCAATTCCTGGGTTGTACTACTTACACTTTGAAACAAGAATCACTTCGATTTGCCACGACACTAAGTGAGAATACGAAATTTGTGCAGTGAAGGTATGTTGACTGTCAAAAAATATGTCCCCAAAAATTCCATATATCATATCGTTATTAGACTAAAATATGATCATTTATGTACTCACTCTTACATTCAATATTATCGCATTCAGGAAATACATAGAGCTACTGTACAAAACACACTAAATTTAGCTCACCCGAATCGTTACAGGGAATATGTCAAGCTAAACGAAAGTCCACACTTGTGGTTTACTAAATGAAATTTGTACTAAATCGACCTTAAAACTTCATGCTGAACAAAGTTTACATGTATCATCCTTGCTGAAGTTCATAATGAGTTGATACTTAAAATATTGGCCTAAATACTGTAATTATATTATCCCGTTATATCAACTTCTTTCAGTGAATCAAGTTGCTTTCACTTATATGAAAAATGTTAATGGAAAGTACATTAGAATCTCCATGATCTTCTATTTTGACCTATGTCTGATAGTGTCTGAAGTTATTGAAGTTACTGAACATTGTTTATAGATACACAGACCGGCTTGTTGATGTTCAAATGATAACTGCAGTTAAAGTACTAAGACGGTTTAGAATTGCTTAACTTTGTGTCTATATACAGATTATAAATTGAATAAATACTTTAAATAACAATAGAAAGTTGTCACGATCTGCTTAGAAATAAACTAGTAAGTATTTTCTTAGGTATTGTAGTGAACAAGAACACCGGTAGGGACAATCAGATGTATTTAGCACAAAATTACAGGACTTGTTTATAACATCTAACAATCATAAAGTAAATGCTTAATTTGCAAAATGTCCACCAGTTGTCTCAAAATGACTCAGACTTCATTGCTCTTGCATTTTCATACAAATTTCATCTTGTTTCTATTCTTTACTGTTCGATCCCCTTGTTTCTCTGCTGTCAGAACTTCTGTTCACGACTATTATCATATACTACTTATGTCAATATAAGTAACACACACCACAGTATCATTACCAAGGTTTGATTTGATAATTTCGAATAAATTGAGCATTGGTTAGATTGTTATAAATAAATCAATATATTTGTAGATATCCCAATGAGTAGAAAAAATAGATTTTCTGACTTAGTGTAGGCCACTTCTTCAAAGAATAAATAACCAAAGTAAGTACTTTAGAAAATAGATTTTATTGACTTTGTTAGTTTGTAAGAAGTACTAATATTGGTCGCTAAAATTGGCTCTGAAAGTTTTAATGTAAATGGATTAGAATGTTTCTTGTTTATTTATTGTTAATCTTTTCAGTGATATCTGTTTTTAGTTTGTGTTGTGTGGACCTTGAAATTACTATTGGGGTACTAAGGTTTATGCACGGATTTAAATCACAATTTATATTTACAGTTTGTGTCTACCTCTTTACACAGTAGGTTTAACCTATAACTTATGGAGAGTTTAGTAAGCTAGTGAACCCAAATACCAATGTATTTGTTAGGTATATAGCTACCTACCTAGAACATAGCACATGTTAGATGCTCATATCTTGATTTGAATTATAGAGTACACAGTACAGATCGTTTTATCCAATGCTACAGATTTGAGACACGAATTTTGAAAATGAGAAGTATCTACAAACCACTGATATTGAATCATAATCGTTTTCTAATGATTTCTGGCACGTGAGGAAACCGCTGAGTGAAAAATGAGCTTACGCTTAAAACTCTCGCTAGTCATTCTTATTACCTGTTTGTGATCTGTTTCTCTCTTGATAATATCTTTCTCTTTCTTAAGGGATGTTCACTTCTTCCATTTCTATTTGATTTCAGCATAGACGTTCTACTAACGAAAATAATAATCGCAGTTATGTCCTGACGTTTTGACTGTCTGCCTTATAGTACTCCTATATCTACGGAATTCATTTTTTCAATCATATAAGCAAATGAAAAACATAAAATGATAATTTTATTGTGGAAAAATATTGTTAGAAAACAACTATTCATCGTTTTCTATGCCATACGCGTTTTTTCTGTCGCGTTTACTACGTGACTTTCGTTATGTGGAATGATGCCATATGACAGATTTGATGTAATTCATTTTCCAAGTACAGAGTTTAATGAAATTAGCCTTGTGTCACACCCTCTATGTGTATGTGTGTATGTTTTTGATGTTGTAAGATACAGTCCATTTACCTGAATCGAAGGGGCTCTAACGCGATAAAATTCTTTCTATGATTTGCTATTCATATTTTACAGTTAAGACCTTTGAAGCAACCTGATTAAGAGTAAATTTTGTCAAATTAATACTGTAGTTGACCGAATGTTTTTAAAAATCATGTCTTGTGTTTTTTTTCTCTCTCAGGTATGTTTAAAACCTATTCCAATGACTCTGACTCAAATCATTCTTATGAAACCGTTGTGTCAAATCGTACAATATCGAAAGAGATGGAAGATTGTATTTCAGTTCAAGCAAATAAACCATTGCCTGATTGTCTAACTGAATTTTACACTCCACCAATAGAGTTAGTTTATAGCAAAGAACCTAGTACTACACGTTGTAGTCTATCATTGGAAAATGCCGTAAGTTACTAAGTGTATGTAAACTTAACAACATTAACGATTATTTCTCATTGTTTTTTTGATGAAAATATATTTGGATCTAACAATGGTTTATTGGTTAGAGTACTCATCTTCCTTCTAACCATTAAATCCCAATTTTAAACTCGACATTTCATGTATTTAGCTTTGGGCAGTCGCATCGTATCCCTAGCTCTCATGTAACTAAATTGTACCTTAAAGCCATATATTGGATAAATTAATTAACTCTCATCACATAGGCTTCTCACAGTTTCATTTGATATTTTCAAACAAATAGTGCTATTTAGTCCACGGTTGAAAAAGAAAATTGGCGTGTAAAAATGAATAAATATTGGTAACTTTATAATGAACTCCATTTCATAAATAAGTGATTCGGCTATTCTGACATCAATCACAGTTTGTGTTTGCTTTTTCGCCATGCTGTTCATTGATAGATGTATTTCAGCACTGATCATTGCTTATATGTGAAAGATCTAATACTGATTAAGTGCCTAATACAAAGGAGAGATATTTCTTAAATGTTCATCCTCTGAGCCTTTGACCTTTAAGGTTTAGTCCTTATAAATGTAGAATAAAGTTAGGTGATTTATTCCCTTGGTACCTTTTTGACAAACAGGCTCTCAATGTGGATACATTCAGCCGCATAACATTGATCTCTACTCAATGACCGATTAGTTTGTATTGTTTAAAGCTTAACAATGTTAGCTGATTATCGATTTCCTATCCGATTACATTTTCATCACTGATTCTGAATTAAGTGTTTATGAAGTGGAAAAATGTTTTAAATATGAATATGAGTTTTATTTATCATTCCCCCGTTTTTTATATTTAGGAAAGTACATTGTCGAATTTCTGGAGGTGAGTTCGTGTATATTGTTCTATATAATTTTAAATGAAAAATGTATCATGAGACGAGTTCTGGATATCATGGTTGTTGTCCTTCGTGAATATTTTTTCCGCAGATACAGTTTTTGATGTTATTGTCAATATGATGGTGTCTCGGGTAATATGCAAATGGTTCGCCTTTAAAATGCGCTTCAAGTGAGAACAGAAATAAGATCAGTTTCGTTCAGTTATTAAAACGAAGCGATTTTAATCTCATAGTTTAAGAGAAGACAGAGAGTATATACATCTACGCCATTTTGATTGATTCTGAGCCATAACACTAAGAGTCTCCAACCATTGGTTACGATAGTCACGCGGACCTGAACCACGTAGTCTGCATCTGCCAACATACTACTTATTTCTTTTTACTTATCCGCGATGTTAGTTGATGATATACAATAAAAACTAATTGCTTGTTGAAACATGATTAGTTTGTCGTATTTTTGTGCTTGTTTATTTGATTTTCTTTCTTTCTGGCACACAGATAAACACTTTTTTCAAAGTTATTTTTTTCTACGTTACTATAAATGTATGTACATATGATGTTTGACAAGCTTATAACGTATTATGTTAATTGTGTTTATAGTTTATAAACTTCATGCTAATAATTACGAATACTGATTTCCAATGTCATATTAGTATGTGTTGTAACGTGTGGACTGCAGGTTAGATGCGCAACGTAAGGACGACCTGGAGTCCCGATTGGTCCTGCTTCTCTGTCAAGCCCAGCCAGTTGAGTCCAGAACGCGAGTCTTAGCCTCTGAAATATGAATCGTTATATTTCAAACATACTCTGTTTATATACCAACCAAACAGACCACATCGTACCATAAAAATAGAAAACAACATCTGTACAATATTTAACGAGCGAAATAAATAATGGCCAATAGGAAATGCCCATTTAGAGTCCAAGGACATCATTAGACTTAACATGATAATGATTGGTATATTTCTCAGCATCCCTAACAGTATGGATTCCTAAATGATCGGTCGTATCGTTCAGGAGTCGTATATCATTATCATCATCATCATCATCATTTAAACTTGAGATAACATTGATAAAGTCAATAGATCAAAGTTGTATTAGAAACTAGCATGTTTATGTTTCTTTCTGTAATGAAATTGATGAAGTATACAAATCTTCACTAAGTTATGTAATTGGTAGAAATAGTTGTCTAAGTTGGTTGATTATTCAATTAATTGAGGGTATTGGCTGACATGTTCCTCTCTAAACTGGGAAACGACCCACCGGCACAAGAAATCGACAATTTTTTCATTTTACTGCTGATATATGGATGATACATTCATCCTTTGTAACAACCATACGAACTTCATAGAAACACTCGAGCGTTTCAATACAGTTCACCTGTCCATAAAATTCACATGTGAGAATTAAGATGGGGGGGGGTAGAATAGCCTTTCTAGATGTTCTACATACAAGGAAAAAAGACGGTTCACTAAGAAGAAACATAAACAAGAAAACTACTTGGACGGGCCAATATGCAAACTTTCTTAGTTTTAAAGAGGAAGAATGTATTTGTAAAATCTCAGCGAAAGAATTTGAAGTAAATCCGAAGTTTCGCCTGGCAATCTGGTCCAAGCTTTTTTAGTTTTGTTCCTCTGCAATACAAAAGGAAGCTTATTAAGACACTGTGTCATAGAATCAATACCATGTACTCTCTAGATGAAACAAAGGCATTATACTCAACCCTGAGAAATGGATATCCCGAGAACTTTATAAATAAAAACATAGCCAATAAAAGAGCATAGAGAATGCCTAACTGTGAATAAAAAGTCTCTGTATATACGCTTACAATGATTAAAGACTAGATGATATAGCTCGAAATCGTTTACAATGGCGCAGGTGCATTCATCCTTTGTCTTCCCCCAAATCTTGGGATTCTTAATTCCCCATATTTTTTTGCTCTTTTTGTTTCGTTAATTTATATTTTCTTGATAATGTTACTAACTCTACTATTCTGGGATCTGGCCTGGCAACTTCATATTTCGATACTAATGTGGTATGGCAACTTGAATCGATGTACATACCTACCAGGTTTTACGTTGTCACTGACTTATAGTTAATACAAGCTACCTAGTTAACGCGTGGATACATTCACTCTTTGTTTTTCTTGTGGATCCGGAGTTATGATATTCCTTCATACATACCTTTTCATTCCTTTCTTCTCGAACCATATTTTCAATGTTTAGTCTCTCTCTCTCTCTCTCTTACTATCATTGGTGCTACGATTATTTAGAATTGTTTGTTATTCATCCTGTTTTAATAACTCTGACTAAAGTACATTTTTGTCAGACTCTATTATGATTGTTAGATTAACTGAATAGTCGACTTAATATTATTTAATTATATTGTATCAATTTATAAATAAATATGTCAATTTCAGTTATCGCCATTATTTTTCAATGTTCAATACTTGCTTACTTACGCCTGTTACTCGTGGAGTAGTAGCATAGGTCAACCACTAGCACTCTACATCCAACCCTCTCCCAAGCAATTCTTTCCAGTTCACCCCAGTTGTTATTCATTCTTCTCCTATCTGCTTCTATTTCCTTACGTAATGTGCTCTTTGGCCGTCCACTCTTCCGCTTCACTTCGGGATTCTAAGTTAGGGCTTGTCTCGTGATACAGTTTGGTGATTTCCGTAATGTATATTCTATCCACTTTAAATGTCTTTTCCTAATTTCCTCCTCAGCTGGAAGCTGGTTTGTTCTCGGCTGTTGCTGGTGGTATCCGGCCGATGAATGTTAAGTATATTGTGTAAACAACTATATATTAATACTTGTACCTTCTTGATGATGGTTGTAGTAGTTCTCCATGTTTCAGCTCCGCACATTAGAACTGTCTTGACATTCGTATTGAAGATTCTGTCTTTGATATTGTTTGACAGACAGTTGTTTTGTGTTCCATATATTTTTTTAATTGTGGGAATGCGGCCATTGCTTTGCCAATCGTCACCTTTACGTCTTCATCCTATCCACCTTGTTCATCAATGAATGTTCAATATCTTCTTTAATTCTGATTTGTTTATTCTTAACTGTTGTTTTTTATGTATATATTTAGTCAATCTACTCTGATAACGTCCGATCCCAGGAATATTAACGAACAACTGATAAATACGGTAGGATATAAGTTTTTTTAAAGAAAAGTACTCAGATAATTTTTAATAGTTATGTATTCCATTACGTTATTTGTTCAACTGTTTATTTTGTCCATGTTTGAATAGGTGTAGGTTATGTAAAAAAAATAAGTGGATTAATCAACTCATTCAACTGGTACTCGGATATATGCAGCACTCTAAGTGTAAGAATTAATAATACTTTTTGGTTGTTAAGATTGAAGTGAATGGAGCGTAAATTGAATCTGTGACTTAGAAACTGATAGTCGAACACCCTGACCACTAAGTCACCGCTCCAGCAATGCTCCAAATAGTTCGTTGATATGAGATTATATTATAAAGAAATAGTTTCTTCGTATACAATTGTTTGAAGAACAATCTTAGATTATCAGTGATACATATAATAATTATTATTAATGGCTTTATTCAGTGTTATATTTTTGGTACAATATAGTATTCTTAGCACAAAGTGTTCCAACAAGTTTCCATTTCTTACTTCTTGATCTATCCTTGCGATAAATATTAAGTGATCGACAGTTAGATGTTAGCTGTTTAGGAATAGACATTTGATTAATGTTCATTCTTTTCGATGCACATTCCCAGCAACCACGATATCCCTGATTGGGCCCTTTTGCAAGTTGTACAACGAAAGGTTGTACACTTTTCAGGAACACACCTGAATAGGTTATGCAATTAATAGATATAATGGTATGTTAAAACAAACAAGGAAACAGATAACTTGTTAAAATATCTAGATGGTAGGAACAAGTAGCCCAAATGTTCAACTAAACACGACAAGTTGCACTGGATTCTCTAAATTATTGGGAATAAACCTTCAAATAGTTACTGATCTGGTAAATGAAACTAAAAAAATAATGGATTGTACATTGATCCAATTTTTAATTTATGTATGTTTTTGTTCCGGTGTTGAATTTTGTTTGAATCAATTTCACACCTAATCGTCGTCAAATCCTTCATTTTTGTAATTTATTTTACTACTTTAATGTTAAGTAGTTTCAAAGGTACGTTTGCTTCTAAAGACATCGTATACCGACTATACGATAGGTGGATTTGAAACAATTAATACAGTTTTAAAAACATGTTATTTTATCCTCTAATTAATAGTCATAAATCCGATTTTACAGCTAAGTGATAACTGTTCAACTTTATGGAATAGATGGAATGTGGCTGGTAGTGAAATCCAAGGCGCACGTTTTGTCTTGTTTGGTAACTGTCAGTTAGATGTACATACATCCTAGAGTTAACGTTCACTTCGGGACTTAAACTCAGCCCTATTTGCAACGAGCTCTAACGCGTTATGCTCTTAGTTACGGATTTCAGATGGGTATGGATTTTGATTTATTAATAGTAGTTCACATTACCAACGACGGGATAATGCAAATTAGTGAAATTAAATAGAATCTGAACCTATTAACTAAGTTACGTTAATTGTATTTAAAAAACCATCAATATTTTGTATTCTTATTAAATGGATCCATAAACCAAGACGATTTGTTACTTCTTCCTTATAGTCATTGTTTTATTATGTTATCTTCATCTAAGTACTTCTACCAAAGTTTCTATTCCTTTTTTTATTTATAGAACACTGGAATACAGTCTTTAGGAGTTCCTAATTCAGAAAGTGATACTCTAACTAGATCGTCATCAATTTCATCGAGACGTTCGACAAACGATACTTTACATCTTGTATCTCGTTTATCCTCCTCTATTTTTGTGGGCAATGGTAATGATTCAAAAAAAAGCTCTACTGTAACATCAAATAATTTTGGTGATGATAATTTGAGTTGGGATACATCTGTTACTTTATTATTTGGTGATTTGTTAAAATCAAGTTAGTTATGTCAATTCTTCTTCAAAAAGACTAATTTTTTGTAGGATTTTCATTTGTTTATTTGTTTTAATAAATTAAAACTTATGTGTTAATTTCATTAAACAAGATGTCAGTCAGCAACAACGTAGAGCTTCGTACGTACGTACATCAGTTCGAGTTGCCACACCACATTAGCACAGAGATGCAGTTGTCGATTCAAATCCCGTAGTGGTAGAAGTAATAAGAGTATAAGCAGTAATCTAAAATATTAGAGCTTGAAGATGTTATTCCAGAAGTATAATACAGTGAAAAAAAGTTTGGAAAGAAAATAAGGGATATGAATAATTCAGAAGATAAGAATTTGGGAGAACACAAAGAATGTATGCACCTGCGCCATTGTAGACGATTTTGAGCCATGTCAACATCTGAACAAGATGTTGGTAAGAATAAATTATTATGGAAACTCTTAAATTGATATTAGTTATGTAATCAGTATTTTTAAGGGTTTGAAACATTTTATGATTAATAGGTATAGTGGTGTTAATAAAGACTAATCACCATTCAATAGTTTGGTGAATAACGCTTTTATGTGTTGTACGATAGCTGTTAAGGTTTTTGTCTTAGTGTGAATATTAGCATAGGAACCCAGTAATATCTATCGGATGAACTCTGGGAACGTGCATCCCAGATCTCATTGTTAGTCACAATCCATGTATACTTAAAGTCTGAATGTATTATATGAGCCGATTACATATTTTTCAAGTGTCTGAAATACATGGTTCACTGCATAATTATGTTAAAATAACACTATCCTACCGTATCTACTTGTGCAAATCATTTCTTTATGTATGAACTGAAACAATTATAACCATTAAAAATTCCCACTAAGTATTTCTATTTCACACAGGCGAGATTATAATTTATGGACGAACCAATCATGTATAAGATATTAGGTTTTGGATTTTGGCGCGAAATTCACTCATCCATTTGGCTGAATAGATTCATGGAATTATAGCTGATGTCAGTTCATGATGAAAACCCTAAATCTAATTCCTAACCTTAACCATCAACTGTAAATCCTAATTCCTCATATTCGTTTATAACCCTCATTTGATTCTTGGTTATTAGGTGGACACTCACGCGGTCACTTTAGCGTCACTCAAAGGTTGTCCATAAATTATAGTCTCGCCGACTAACATTAGTTGGGAAGTTTTTTGTTTCTTATAACCGGATCTTATATATATCTGTTGGTAGGTTGGGAGGTTTACAGAGGTCAGTAATAAAAGATATGTACTTCTGATCGTCACACTAGTTGAGGAATGTTCAGCTGAATAATTAAGTCAGTGATAAAGTTTTTGATAGTCTCAGATAAAGTTCATTTATCTTTTTTGTCTTTTTCAATCTTTGTAGACCGTCTTCGAAGTTTAGCATTCAAAGATGTTCCTCTTTCTGCTTTACAAATACATAAAAAACGGTCAGTATCTTGCTAATTTTTGGTTTGTATATTCGGTGACATTTCTTTATTTTTAAATCACAAGATTTGACGTATTGCTCCTCAAATGTTTAAGCTCCTTTTGAAATACTTCAGTCTCAGTGGGATAGACATTAAAAACACTAAAATTTTGCGTCTCTTCGTCACAAAACTCTATGGTATGGAAAATGACTCAAAACAATGTAGGATCTTATACAATTCTATTTAAATCATGAACGGAGATCATTGGTTCGTTCCTGGTTTCGGAATTGTGGATGCGGACTGCTTAGGAGGTTGACTGACTAAGCAGACAACCAACCATTATCATTCTCACCCACACACCAGTATTTTAGTGGTGCAGACCTTAGTGCAATAGTTTTGAGCTCAATTATGATTATTTCAAATAATTTCGAGATGGCAGCGATGGCCTTTGAAGCGGAAGGTAGAGTTCGAGTCCCGGAGTGAATATTAACTCTGGGATGCAGAAACATCCAGCTAACGAGTCATAAATAGCATTCCACTGTTAGCTACCACCCATATCTGCTCAAAATGAAAGTAGGATTGTTTTAATCCTAGACAAGTGAACTGAATCTAAAAAGTAAATAAATGTACATCATTACATCATGACTGTTATTTATGCTTGATTGAATTTGAACAGGTTGAAAGAATAGCATGAAATTCCTCTAAAGACGAATAACACTACATAAAAATCCTTATTATTCAATAAAAATATATTTAGCACCCTCAAATGCTCTGGTACGACCGATGGTGGGGAGAGTCAGCTCTCCCTCTCAAAATGTTCTCATATGGCCATACATATACATCCACCAACATGGAAGTCCTACTCATTGCATTCTCGTGGTGAATGTATTGTTTACGAAATCGAGAGGATGAAAAGAGAATGTTCGACGCTTTGGTGGGTATGAAGGATACACATGATGGAAGTGGAAAACCCTGATTCCAAACTAATAGTGCACACGAACTCCAGTATCCTGAGGGAACAAATGGCGTATGAACGTATTGTTGGTCACTGGCTACCATGTGGCTGCGTCTTGTGACGTTGCTCCAATGCCTTGTGGATTAGACCTTTAGGTCGATAGCTCCTGGTGTGACCTCTCAAGAAAACCGCCTGCTTCGATCTGGGCATCCGGGTAGTATCACAGCCCACACAATTCAAGTGACTTGTGTGGCGCATATGTATTCGGTACCATTATTCATGTGTTCGAATAAATATTAAATTGCACTGTATCATCGTTCGCTCATTTTTAATTGTTTGCTCAGATTGGAAAATGAACGTACAATCATTGATTTATCAAAATCCATTAAACAAGGTCGAATACCAAATATATTTTCACGTAATCAAATTAACACATTATTACAAGATGAGAATTATCGAAATCTATTAATTGCTCGTATAAATGATAATCTCTCAAAAGATGTCCTACCAAATCAATTGCATATTGATGATGTGGTAAGTATGATGATTTTGTAATTACGCTGTGGTGTTTGAAGCGTCCGATACTTGGTTCGAGTCCTAGAGTGAACATCAAATCCGAGATGCAGGTATATGCAGCTGACGAGTCCCGAATAGGCCGAAACGCGCATCCTGGATTTCACTCCTAACCACTATCCATATAAAGATACAAGTGTGTAGAAAATCTAATTCCATTAGTGACAAATCAATTAGTACATTGAATAAGATATTTAGAGACATTCGAAATGGCTAAATATTACAGTAGCACTTCTACTGGAGAAAAAAATTATTTACCTATTTCCACAACTCGATCAAAATGTGCCATGAAAATTGTCTTAAATCAGCAAAGTATTTTACGAACCATTCTAATCGGCATACTTTACAAACTAACACAATCCCTTCACTCTATTGTATTCAAATGGAAGGATAAAACAATGATATAATTTACTTAGTAAATTGTACGAGAAACCATGTAGTAAGATATGGGACGCCCTTCATAGGTGCACACGAGCATAGATTATTCTTTTAATGGCACAATACATCGTTAACTATATCAATGAATACAGACAACTATGGATGTGACAGAAAAAGTCGTACGATAATGAATTTAGGAAATCTTAAAGCTGTAAAAGTCTCCAAAGGATACTAAATCAAAAGAGATGCTGATACAGATTGGGTGTAAGAATCAACTAATCAAACTATCAGAAGCTAAACCCATAAAGTAGTTAACTGAATTGTAAAAGTGCATGTTGTCTAAAAACGAACTGAATTGACCGTCATAGGATAACTCCAAATTATCATCCCCATTTATGCAAGGTGCCAATCATGTTGTATAAGATAATAATTAGAGCTTCCAGCTCATGGAATTCACTATCACTGAAAACTTTGGTTTTTCAGATTAACTCGTGACCAATGTGTTCAACTTATCATTTTTTTAAAGTCTTATTTATTTACCTTGTTTCTTTTAATTTCTATCTTCTATTAGTCTATTCAACAGTGGGATCAATATAAAGCAATTTTATGGACGCTTAAACAAATGATCAATGGTTTAGAATATAGTTTTCGACCGGATATTGTATTCCCAACTACAAATCAATATGATCGCATTACTAGAGATAAATCACCATCGTCAAATATTCCAAATCCATTGAGTAACACTAGTTGGTTATCCTATTCTACTGGTATTTTGAAAAGTGGTGGTTTGGCTTCAGCGTTTATGCTTATGGAAGTTGCACATACGCATTTCTATCGGTTGCCTAATCGAACAGGGCACATAGATAATAATCATGATGAAAAATTCTTTTGGAATAGCATGCCAACTACACCCACAACGGAATTGAGATCACCTATACCAGCAAGAAGATTAGTTGGTAATGATATTTCTTCAGTTCGATATCAAGTAAGCCGACTGATCATTTTTCTTAGAATGGGGTGTATTAAATGTGGAAGTATTTTTTATTCATTGATATCTAGTAAGATTAGCGGAGATACTATAATTTATGAACGACCTTTGAAGTAATCGTAAGTGACGTTGAGGAATTTCAGCCAGTTAGAAAACAGTTTGTATAGAGTGAAAATATACAAAAACCCAAAAAAATGAGGGTGAATACACATCGGTAACATGGTTTAAAAACTTCACAATGTTAGAAAGAGACTCTGCAGTTGTGAAATCGTAATGCATGCGCTACAAGAATTTATTCATGGGACTACATAATAATCGAACTCTGGAGCCATAATAAGGTCGCAAAAATTGTTTTAGCCTCTACCACATTACTTCTCTTTTATTGATGTGTACTACCGTGATGGGTTCACAAAATGTCTCTTGTGAACGACAATATGGTCTACGTAACGAAGTCTAAATAGTCATCGGTATGCTCTCCAGTCTTTTGTGTATATTGTGGTACCCGGTTGCACATACTCTCGTATAATTGATATTATATTTGTAGCTTATCGGTTTCTCTTTCGCTGGAAGTGTTTTTTTTAGATGATCTATCATATATATCAAGGACCTGCTAAGTATATTTAAGGAACTGCTACCTCCCCAGTCTTCTTATCACTTATTTCTCTATTGAATTTGAGTTTTTTAACGACTGTTTCGTCGATTTACACGACTTTCCTGATTCATCCAAAGGACTGGTGCAAGATTGTCATTTTCATTGCACATATATCTCTACAGTGTTCGTACCATTGAAGTGCTGAAGCTTCAGTAGCATTTGCAAAGGTTACAGCATTTATTATCCAGTTTACAACAGTTCACATAATCTGTCTGAGTGTCAATCGGGATCGTACAAAAAAACTTCCTGATCTAGTAGACTTTTTCCTCCAACATGCAGTACATCGAAATACAACATCACCACGATTGTCTGTACTAGGTCCAGCAGGTGTCGAAATCACAAATAAAGGACCTTCTTTATAATCCATTTGTTTTACTTGCTCAATTATAACTTTAAAATCCGTTGGAAACCGATCGTACATGAGCATTGGGCACCGAAATAGGCTCCGTGACCTTGATATCTCCCAAACGTTTTTGATTGACTCGTTCATAAATTGTACTCTCGTTTTTTTATATGGATCATTAGATTTCAGTGTTTCGAAATAGACCGAATAAAGTTTGAACTGATGTTAAATCTAGTAGACTATTTAAATAAGCTATTCTGAAATTAAACAACTCTCCAATACACATTGTTTTCAATCTTATAAAGTAACAGTCAATTTTGCTTACATCTTTGTATAGTATTTTCATCAGTATGTGTTGCATTACAAAAACTTACTATCAAGATCGTAATTATCTTCTTCGAATATCTGGTTATTTATAAAATGTACCATTATTATTTAATTTTATTAAACTATGCTAATAGCTGTTAAAAAATATTTTGTTTTTGATTGAGATCATGAACCGATTGATGTTAGACCACCACCTGTCTCTACCTCAGTACAACGGAAGTTGGTCGCGCAATTTCGTGGATTAATTGATGTTAGAAACTATCACCATTGGATGCCGGCTCAGTGGTCCAGTTGGTTAAGCGTTCGCACGCGAGACCGAAGGCTCTGGGTTCGAGTCCCACGAGCGGGATCATGGATGCGCACTACTGAGGAGTCCCACGATAGGACGAAACGGCCGTCCAGTGCTTCCAGGTTTTCAATTGTGGTGGTCTAACATCAATCGGTTCTTGATCTTAATCAAAAACGTAATCTCCACAACCCCTATACTAGTAAAATATTTTGTATTGTAGTTTAAGCGCTTAAATGTTGAGAGTTGAACATAAGTTTATCAATTACTTAGAAAATGATATCTTCATCTTAGACAAAGAAAATGAATACTACTGTAGTGTTTGAAACGAGTATATTAGTGAATAAGCGAAAATATTGTGATGTATTATAGTCACTAAAAATAAAATGACATATTCGAAGCTTTAAAGCATCGTGTTAGTGCGCGAGACCGATGAAACCTGGATTCGAATCTCACGAGGCGGGATCGTAGATGCGCACTTCTGAGGAGTCTGACAATGTGACGAAACGGCCCTCAAGTGCTTCCAGGTTTTCCATGGTGTTCTAAATTCAATTAACTCATGATCTCAACTATTAAAATTACTGTAATATCCATAAAACGCATTCTAATAATAATAAAAACAGTATTCTTCCTGTCAACCAATAAGTCACTTTGACAACGTATTATATTTAATGATTAGTAACGAAACACATGATTGCTTATTGAACATTTATATGAAATTAACACATGACTTAATAAAAAATCACGTTGTTTTTTGTCTTCTCGTTATATATCAAACACCAAATAGTGGGTAAATAGGAATTAAGAAATTTAGTTAGTTACTTGTGACATAGTTTAAGTTAATGACTTTTGAATTATTATTATTATTATATCTTAAATTGAAGCCTTTGAAAGTGACAATACTGTCAGGAATGTTAGATCCCCAATTCACACTAAAAGCACTCATTTTCACCTTCATGTTGTATTTCCTTCTTGGGAGGATCTTAAACGTTTTTGGTTCGTTGTATCTTTTAATATGCTATTTTGTAACGCTTCTCAAGGACATTTTTATGTTGTATATAAGCAGCTGATTTGTGTTTGTCGTAATTATTCGTGCTTCTGGCTGCTTGAGAAATATATTTCCCTCTTCCTATCTTGGACTTCTCTGTCTAGTTAGCTGAGCTGGGACGCGTTGGAATAGGTAGCTTATCTGTCGTTGTGTCACAGAGTCTTTGGTCCATTCTCAGGTTAGATGAACTTGTAATCACTTCAAACATAGCAAATTTATATGTATGTTAAGATCATAACTCCTAGCTCTGTAGTATGGTTCGAGCTTCTTTAGAGAGATAATCCTATAGTTTGTTTGTAAACTGTTCAAATTGGATTAAACACTTCATATATATCATTAAACAATCTATTTACGCGTTCTATTTGAGCTATTTACACTGATAATTTGATTTATAGACCGCTGACATACGGAACCTACAGTTTCTATTAGTTTGATATCAGTTTGTGATTTTCATTATCGATAGGTACACAATTTTTAAACTGAGTGGCAACTTTGTGTAATTTATCAAATGGTCTATATATAAACTTTCAGCCAGACTTCATAGTTGTTACTTATTGATTCTACTGGACTGTTGAAACTGAAATTGGAATTCCAACCTATTCCTTAATAGTGGGTAACAGAGCATGTTAATCTATAATTTAATGCCATCTCAACGGTACAGTGAAATAGCAACCATTAGAAATCATGGGGCATGAAACAGCTATTTCGTTCTGGTCTGAGAATCTTTAATAGTTCTTATTCATGATCTTGCATTATATTAAACCTATGACTATCACAATCAGTAGTTTGTCAGCTGACGTTAGTTCGTGAACAATTTAGCCAGCAGACTGCACAAAACTATTTAACTCATATTGGGAATCATTAGTGCATACATCACATCGTCACTTGCTACAAGCGGTATACTTTCTACAGTCATATTTGCAAGTTCACGAGACTATCAGTATTACTATTTCTTTTACTATTAACTAGAAAAGAAATATTCTTCCACATTGGTGGTAGACAGAAATTGTTAATCGCTCATACACGCGATGCATCATCTCAGCTTACGGAATAAAGTTCTCTGATCTATTGACGTCATCGAAATTCCCATTCCTGACCTCGTACAACATTGAACTTAAAACTCTTAGGTCTCCTTACAGATCTACTACTTTTTTCACTTTAACAAAATAAGAGATATGTGCTTCCAGCAAATGTGACAGACTGCCTGTTTTTGTTTAGTTACAGTTTATAAACCCTGTTCATTTGAAAGGACATTGTATGATATCATCGTTTAACTATATATTTAAGGGGAAGACTATAATTTATGGATGAATCAATCACGTATAAGATAACAGGTCTCAGATTTTGGCGCGAAACTCACTCATCCATCTGGTAAATAAATAAAGTTTTGGCATTATAGCTGATGTCGGTACATGATGAAAAACCCTAAATCTAATTCCTAACCTTAATCATCAACTGCAAATTATAATTGTAATTCCTTACATTGGTTTATGACTCCTTCATTTGGTCCTGGTTATTAAGCGGACACTCAAAATCAGTCTAGCGTCATTCAAAGGTCGTCCATAGATTATAGTCTTACTGATTTAAGTCTTTTAATGGTATTTATAAAATTACTTCACTTATTATTGTGTCAGTAATAATATTGTATTACTATCCAACATTTTGTTCATTCTCTCCCCTTTTCTGATATTTTATCATTAGAATAATCAATTAGATTTATCGGACTGTGAATCATACAGTAGAAAAGGTTCAAAACTAGGTAAGACTATTGTTGTTTGTGTTATATTTCCTCCTATTCTATTCGTTTGTTCATTGTAAAAAGACGAATGATATTAAAGTATATATATATGAAGATTAGATGATGAATTTTCTTTCTATTTGTTAGTTGGTATCGTAGCACTTTGCGACTATTTACTCACAGACCAACAGAAATGTTCTCAATGCTAAGGATAAAAAAAGACATGATATTGGTTACTGTTGAATGTTCTGTTGGTGTAAACATGTTGATAGTACTGGAAGTCTATCTCAGTTCAAATAATTGATCAGATTATTGACTGTTACTACGGGTGATATGGATTTGAATTGTGTTACTTTGATACATTTTTCCTTAAACATCCACATACACCTATTGACACAAAACATTGATCTAGGATCTCCTGCTAATTGCCTCAAAACATCGAGTTGTTGTTTTTAGTCGGTCGATCAAGGACTAAATAAGACATGACATTGATCACTGCTTATCAATCAATTGACATAATTTTTATTACCTCGTATCTAAGTGACTGTCACATAGCTTTGTGTGATTTCACGCTTGAGTTACTATTTTGTTGATTTATTTACCTTCATAGATTCCAACTGTTATTTAGTAATGTTTTTTGTACTTGAAGCGAGAGGTGACATCATATCATTGCATTTTTAGACTGATTTTTGATCGATATTTATGATGAAGTGTAATTGTATGAACAGTATTTTCATTAAGGCAATTACACATCATTGTTCTTTTGCCTTTCATTGAACTGAAATAAAACTATTGGCTTTAAAAAAATATATCGAATCAAATATTCTTTTGGTTCATACAGTCTGTTTTCTTTCTAACGTTTGAATTCAGCATTCATCTCACTATCTCTGTAGTCACAGTCTTGAGTGTATTTAAAGTGTTCTTAGGCAAGAGGTTTTTACTCAGACGAAATAGACGTGTATATGATATTGTTTGGTAATAATGATATGTTTGGAACTTCACTTACTTACGCCTGTTACTCCTAATGGAGCATAGGCCGCCGAACAGAATTGTCAACCCCAATCTGCCTAGGCCTTTCGTTCTAGTTCTATCCAACTGTTGTTCATTTTTCACATATCTATCTCCATTTTTGGTCTTTATCTTCTTCTTTTTTGACCTTGAGGATTCCATGTGAGGGCTTGCCATGTGACGCATTTGAGGGCTTTCCTCAATTTCTGTCCTATCCACTTCCAGAGATTCTTCCTGATTTCTTCCTCCACTGGTAGGTGTAGACTACCTGGTTGGGGACCGCGAGATGATAGCAGCAGATGGTTAGAGACCCTGAATGACATGGCTCAAAATCGTTTGCAATGGCGCAGGTGCATACACTCTTTGTGTTCTCCAAAATTCTAATCTCCTGATTCCTCTTTGTCTCTTTTTTTTCTCTTCCCAAATTTATTTCACTGGATTATGCTCTTACTACCTCTACCACTACGGGGTTTGAATTGACCACTACATCTCTGTGCTAATGTGGTATGGCAACTCGAACTGATGTACGTACGTACAAAGTTCTACGTTGTTACTGACTGATTGACTTCCACTGGGATCTGGTTTGTTCTCTCCCACAGTAGGTTGTTGCTAATAGTGTCCGGCCAACGGATGCGAAGTATTTTGCGTAGATTGCTGTTAATAAACACTTGTATCTTGTGGATGATGGTTTTCGTAGTTCTCCAGGTTTCCACCCCATACAGTAGAACTGTCTTGATATTCGTATTGAAAATTCTGATCTTGGTGTTGGTTGATAGTTTTTTTGAGTTCCAGATGTTCTTTAGTTGTAAATATACTACCTTTGCTTTGCCGATGCGCGCCTTCACATCTGCATCAGATCCACAGTGTTCACCAATGATGCTGCTTAAATATGTAAAGGTTTTTACATCTTTCAAATCTTCTCCGTCAAGTATGATTCGATTGTTGAAAATTCACTCACCCTCTTTTCTTATCATTGCCGATAGTGTATAGATCTCTAAATTAATAATCAGTAATCGATTCACACTATCATCTTTTATACAATTTGTGGAATTCCGACTAATTTATCAAATACAAATTTATGTACTAAAACTTTGAGTCTCATATTTTATGTATGACCAGCCATTGACACTACTTGGCAATGCAAAGCAAAGTAATTGAATTCAGATTTGAATATGTAACCTGGTCTCTGGAAGTCAAACCTTCATGAAATATCTTAATAATTAATTTTAATAATTTGTCAACCTTGCCTATTCACGTTTTTTTTCTTCTTCTTCTTCACATTAATTAAGATTAATTAAATTGACGTATAATTTACCTTATGTATTATCAGCTGATCTTAACATACTGATCTGATCGTCTTCAATTCCTTTCATTCATTATACATAAATTTATTTGTTCTATTCATTTGTATCATATGAATAAAGGACACATATGATTGACTGATTATATTTGTCCGACAAAATCTTATATTCTTTTGTCGCTTCATTTCGACCATGTAATAGTCACTTGTTTCTAATTCACAAGATTATGAACTTATGGTAGATTGATTTGTTAAGGTCACATGCAAGATAGATAGATATTCGTTTGTATGTATATATGTATATACGTTCAGGTTACGTTTCTAAATAATGAAAGTAGCAATGTGTATTCATCATCTCAACTTTATTATCTACTCATCTAGTTGTAACGTTTTCAATGGATTGTAGATTATTTATTTGTTTATTTATTAAAACACATGAACATTGATACAAGAAAGCACCAAACAGATATGCGCCACATAAATCATTCGATTTATGTGAGGGCTGTGATACTAAACGGGTGCCCAAACCGAAACAAGTGGTTTTCTTAGGGGGCCACCTCTCGAGCCTTTGATCTAGAGGTCTGATCTACAAGGCATTGAAGTAACGTCACAAGATGCAGTCCCATGGTAATCGGTGAGTAACAATAAGCCATGTATTTTCTTACGCTCCTGGAGTCCATGTACACCATTTGTTTGGAATGAAGGTTTCCAACTCCCCTAGGCGGATCCTCCGTATCCACCAACCCGGTTAAGGCGCCGGATATTTGCTTTTCGTCCTCTCAATTTCGTAAATAACACTAGTGGTGCGACAAGACAGTGAGTAGGACTTCCCTGGGAGTGGTTTTATGCTCGTCGCCATGTGAGAACATTTCGAGAGGGAGAGCGGAGTCTCCCCACTCTCGACCGTACCAGAGAATTTGGGGGCTAATGCAGATAATAGTGATTTTATTATTACTAGCTTTATTCAATATTATATTTTTGCTACAGTATAGAGTTCTTAGCTCAAAACAAACAAAAAGCAGATATTTCTGGTTAGTGTTTTTTTTTAGCGAGTTGGTTTTCTTCGGGATAGGGTCGGTAACCCCATGCCCAACCCTCCTCCATTATCCGGGCTTGGGACCGGCCGTAGCATCCGAGGATCTCCAGGCGGAATTAAACAGATACTTTGTTGAAATATTCAGATGGCAGAAACAGGTAGACTACATATTCAAGTAGGCCACCTAATTACTTTCTACTCGTTTTTGTTTGACGAATTGTACATCTGCATATATTACTTTGCTTCCATTCTCGCAGTTTAAAATTGTTCGTAGGTTACACTATGGATCGACTTCAACTAGATAACTATTGAAACTCAAGAGGGAGTGTTACTGAGTTATTTAATCCTAGTGTGGAACCTTACCACAAACTCTTCAGGGATCGAGTTTATTACCTAGTCTTTGCCTTGAAGAGTGTGCATTAACCTTCAATCATTTAAGTACTATTTAAAAGCAGTATCCCTCATTTCTTCAATCGACTCGTTATACTTGATGACCATGAGTAGAATGAGTAGCCCAACACATGAATGAACTCCCACCAGTCTTGTCGAACTGCTAAAACGTCTTATGCTAGGACAAAAACGGCTATCCACTCCCCTTCTTGTTTTGTAGTTAATATAATATAAACTTCAAATTGAATGTTTTACACAAATCTTTGATGCTAATACTAAGATTGTTTCTTAGAATTTTTCATAAAACCTAATTTAGAATCGACTGCCTAATTTGCATTTGCGTTGACCATCACTATTCTTTGTAATTCACCTCTTGAATAAGTCAGCTAGATCTTATTACGAGATGTTTCTTTATTATGCCATCAACTGATACTAATCCATTCCATACACATTGAATAGTTAGTTAATAAGTCCAGAACGTAGAACAAGTAACTCTTCATTGTTCTTTTGATAAAAAAGTTCTTTCTATTCGATTGCAGTAAGTGATGAACATATATCTCTTTGTTACACGGAATCCCTATTGTACTAACTAAGTAAATTGGCATTGAAACTGAAGATTTAGCGAAGTTAAGTAATAAATGTATCTAAATTACTACAATGATCGATTTTGAACCATGGCACTCTACATCGATAACTATTGATCACAGTTATGACATGGATCATAACTGAGAAATCTTCATCTTATATCACTCTCAATTTGAAAATCAATATCGTTGTATAGTTTGTCCATCCTTAGATTTCCAACCTATAATCCTAAGCCAGTCAAAATTATTTATCAAGGTAAAAAGTGGTTAAGTGTTAGTAAGACAACTGATAGTCAGTTATATCATTGAGAATTTCTAAATAAGTGAAACCTGCCTATTGAGACTTAGAAACAGGAAAGGTTGGTTTGTAAGTAAGCAACTTTTCACTGTATTAGTAATTATTTTTTCAATGAGGACTCATAACATCTTTAAAAGATATGTGATGTTTATTTAATACCCCCTATACCTCACTTCATGTAATGTATTCCATTTGACTCATGAATATGCACAGTTTGAAGAAGTATATATATCTATCTATCTGTGTTCTGTCCCCAAATGCTTTGGTACGGCCGAGAGTATGGAGAGTCCGCTCTCTCTCTCGAATCGATTTCACATGACCAGGCCTATACAACCACCAACAAGGAAGTCCTACTCATTGCATTCTCGTGGCGGGAGTGTTCTTCACGAAATTGAGAGAACGAAAAGCGAATGTCCGGCGCTTTAACCGGGTTGGTGGACATGGAGAGTCCACCTAGGGGAGTTGGAAAACCCTGATTCCAAACCAATGGTGCACATGGGCTCCAGTATCATAAAGGAACATATGGCGTGGGAACCAATCGGTGGTCACCGGCTACCATGGGACTGCATCTCCTCATGATGCTCCACTGCCTTGTGGGTTAGACCTTTAGGTCAAAGGCTCGGGGTGTGACCCCCTAAGGTAACTACATGCTTCGGTTTGAGCACCCGTGTAGTATCACAGCCCTCACACATATCAAAAGAGATTTGTGTGGCGCATATGTATTCGGTGCCTCCTTGTACCAATATCTATGTGTTAAAATAAATATATATATCTGTGTTGCAAGCTAAATCGAAACAACCGTTTCGTATTTCTTCCTGTGAACCATTTTTTTCTCCAATTTTCATTTTTCCACTGTTTACTGATGTTCATTTATTACATTATTTCTTCCATTTATATTGGATTACAGTTTCAAATTCTAATTCAATACCTTCTTATGGATATTCTATAGATTCATCTATATCACAGCCATCATATTGCATAACTTCACTCACAAAACATCATCATCATCAAAGATATCAGAAAATGTCATCTTTTAATCATTCACAATCACCGGATATCAGTAATAACACTACCACTACCACTACTACTACTAATACTACTGATTTAACCAATAGTCAATTATCGAAATCATTACATTTATTAGAAAATACATTTGAGTTAACTAATGTTTCGAATAAATTAATTTTATTCAAAACAAAACTTGATTATTCTAATCAACAATTCAATGATCTATATAATAGTGTATCATCAAAATTATTAAAAAATTTAAAAAAACCACCTTTTCAAAATTCAACAAATACAATGGGAAATCATATCATCAACGATCATCTTGAAGATAATGTTGATCACAATTCTAATGATCTATTATTACAACATCAAACTGTTGTGGCAGATTCATCATCACCTCAAACTATACCTTATATTAATTCACCACTTACTATTAGGGGTATACATATAATGCATCATAGTAATACACTTGATCATAGTGAGCATTTTTAAGAAAAAAATTAATGTGTTCATGTGTAGTTTGTTTAGTAGTAGTCTAGTCCTATATACCATGTATGAATATGTTGTGTAGAATGGGGTCTTTGCTAACTTATTTATATGTTTGCATTTTTGTTGCTGTTGTTCATTCACCAGTATTCTTACTTGTCGATTTCATCACATTGTAATGTAGAGAGATTATATTGCACCGATTGTTTGATCTGTAAACTCATCAATGTTGTAATTTTTAACTAACCATGTTTTCTTCCCAATTAACGAATAATACACTATAATTTTTCCATTTTCTTAGTACCTGATCTCTTCCTTTTTTTTTATTTTTCTTGTGAAAAAAATATTCATATCAGAGCTATTTCGTGGTCATGGTCGTCATCAATTCACCAATGTTATTGTTACAATGAGTGAACCATCATCGGATAGAGAAGATAATGAACAAATTCAATCAAAACCTATATTTAAATCAGATAGTACTGATATTATTAAACACAATATTCAACCATTGAATAATGCAAACAACACTATCAATGTTGGTCATACTGGAAGTTGCATTACAGTGAATCGACATAATGAATGTGAAAAATTCGATAAATTGTTTGCTTCTGATGCCAAACTACACGAATCAATGAGTAAATTAAAACCATATCGTGATAATGAGAATGGCGTCAACGATGATGATATACCGCCAGATTATGTACCGGAATTGCCTAATCGTAAAAGTCAACGAAGTTTTGGCTACAGGTAGGTGTTTAACTAAAATGTAGTACTTGCTGCAAATATGAATGTTTTTGACCAATTTGTCTCATATTTTCTGTGTTATGAAATGATTGAAGAAAGAGAGGTGAACGTGACTAGTATTACAAGTAATTCAGATCTGAGTAGTAAAGTTAGGTAGTAGCTAACAATGGAATCTATGAGGCGTGCTTTGTCTTAGTCGGGATAATAGATAACGCACTGAGCCTTTGAAGCCGAAGGTAATGGATTTGAAATCCAGGTACATCCAGCTAGAGAGTCTCAAACAGAATGAAACGCGCATTTCTAATTCAACTGTTTACAAATATCCAACTTAATCAAAACTTGTGAATATGTGGCACTGTCGAAGCAATTCATATAGCATTTGATATCTGATGACATATCTGATATGCCAAAGGAGGCAGATCGATTGTAGTCCTTTATACCAATAACAGAATGACATGAACGGTTACAAATACTGATCTGAATAGTTAGTTTCCTTAACAAAATTTATGATAAACATTACTGACATGTAATAAATAATGAATATGAAATTTGAGTTGAATGGAAAATTCTATAAAGATGCTCTCATTGTAGTATAACACGATGATAAGTTTCTTACCTTGATGGTGATGTGAGTATGATCTATGGAATGCAGTCAGTACTGTGAATATTACGAGGTTGATTAAGTTTGATGGGAAATCAGTATTGTACAATCATAAAAAGCGATTAGAGATCTGCACCATTGTATTCGAGATCATGCTTATAAAAGTTTTATAATCTATTTTATTCAGTCCATGGGTTCCTACTCAACTCTGGTTTTAATTTTCTTAAATAGATATTACCAATCACACTTAATTTTAACGGATCCATCAATCACATCTAGTTCATCTGATGATACAGACGATCAGACCACATGTACAATATTTACTTCTTCACCGAATACATGCACACCACCAGCAGTTTATCGTCCTGACTTAAAATTTCATTTTAATGATACTGAATCAGAAAATGAAGATATAGATAATAAACATCAACAACAAATAGAGATAGAACAACGAAGAAAACAATCAGAATGTCATATGTGTAGACTAACTTTGCTGATACCAACTCCACCTCCACCAAATTCATCATCAGTCATGACAGTATCTCCATCTAAGATGAAGAAAGTACCATGGACTTACTTATTTGAAGATATTTTCGATACTGAATGGCGTAAAAGTAAAATATTGGGTAATCTACAATTTTGGGAAGATTCCTTTTTAGATACAGTTGCACAGGAACGAGATATACTTGGTTAGTTCTTTCTTATGAATCTTAAAATGTGAAGAAAATAGATTTTTTTTCATAGAGTGGATGTACATCGATGATCGATAGACAGCTAACGAGTTGATTACTGCTTATTAATTACCACCATTTAAGTTATATAGTAAGCCAGTCAGAAATAGCCTAATACGAGGTCTATTCGATGACAATCAGAAGTGACCTGAAGGACAAGTATATTTCATTGGCTAGCATAGGCCGCTCACCAGCATTCTCCATCCAACCCTGTCCTGGGCATTCCTTTCCAGCTCCTTTCAGTTCCTATTGATCCTTTTCATATCTGCTTCTATTTCCCGACGTAATGTGTTCTTTGGCCTTCCTCTTTTCCGTTTCACTTCAGGATTCCAAGTTAGGACTTGCTTCGTGATGCAGTTTGACGATTTGCGTAGTGTATGTCCTATCCATTACAAATCAATATAATATCAAAATTAGTTGTTCAAATACAATTAACAGTCACTTGTTAAATAAGTAATTTACTCATAGAATATCTGGTTAATTAATTTATGATCGATGTAAAGGTTTACTTCTCAGCATTTGATCAATGTTTCTAAAGCCAAAAAAAGACTAAACAGCTGATTGAAACTAAGACTTTTTGAGTTTTATAATGAATGTACTAATTTGTAATTTGATGGTTTACAGCTTCATTATGATTTCATTATGTTGAATAGCCTAACCATCCTTTAAGAATGTACATTGAGAGATGTAAATTACCAAACAACTATGATTAACAATTGTGAAAGTCCTTTATACATAGAGTCCGACTATTGAAAGAGACGTAACAACCAATAATACCTCTCTATTCATGACTCAGAAAGTTTATTTACTGTCGTATAAGGGTCTTCAAATGTTCTACGTTTTTGTTTTCAATATCTTCATCGTGCACATCTAATTATCTATGGAAATCATATTTACAGTTCAATAAAATAAACAATAAGAGAGAGTAGATATTCTTAACCATCTGCCTGAAATCATGTTTCACTACGTTAACTCTGAAAACTAGTAACTACAAAATGTTTTGACATGTAGTTTTATCATCACTTGACTTTAGTTATACAGGCAGTTGATATAAAATTAGTCATCACTGGATGGCTTAATTAATTCCAGTATAACAATATTCATCAGTGAGTAATGCCAATCGTGCTAGTTGTAATCAAATCCTAGAGTATCATTCACGTACATGCAGCCCTCAAACACCCTGGTACGGTTGACGGTTGGGAAAATTCACTATCCCTCTGGAATTGATTTCATATGACCACGCCTATACAACCACCGACAAGGAAGTCCTACTCACTGCATTCTCGTGGCAGTGATGTTGTTTACGAAATCGAGGTGATGCAAACTGAATGTCCGGAGCTTAAATGGGTTGGCTAATGTGGAGGATCCATCTAGGCGAGTTGGGAAATCCTGATTCAAAACCATTGTTGCACATGGACTCCAGGATCCTGAAGGAAACAAATGGCGTATGAACGTATTGTTGGGCACTGGCTGCCATAAGACTGCATCTTGTGACGTTACTCCACTGCCTTGTGGATTAGACCCTTAGATCAAAGGCTCGGGGTGTGGTCCCCTAATAAAAGTGCCTGCTTCTGTTTGGGCTCCCGTGTATCATCACAGCCTTCACACAAATCAATGATAACTAATATTGGCCTCATTGTTATTGTCTGATGCATATGTATTCGGTGCCCAATTGAACCGATGTTTATGAGTTCGAATAAATAAACAAAACGTACATGCAACCAATACGTCATCTCTAGATCATCATCACTAAGTCAGAAAATACATTCAGTATCCACACTACATTCACTGTAACTTCTTACTCATCATATTATGAACTTACACCACACCTAATCACTGATAATGATTATACCTTTCATTTCTTCAATTCACATTCAGGTATGGATTTTCGACCAAAAGAACTTTTATTAAAATATCAAAATGCTTCTTTATTGAAACGTAAACAAATGGAATTAGAAGAAGATTGTTTATTAGTTAATATAATGCATAATATGATTGCATTTATGCTAATGGCTAATGTGGATCGTATATCTATACGTAAAAAATTACAACGTCTACTAGCTAAAAGTCATACAGGTTTACATTATTCACGAAAAATTAATGATTTATTAAATTCATTAAATTATTTGGTAAGTTTGCTTTCTTTGTTGTTGTTGTTGTTGCCGAAGTGTCTCGTATTCTGTTTTGACACATATATACCAAGTACTTTTGTTCACTGTGTTTTGTTCAATGGATTAATTGTGGAAGTCATCATTATCACTTTGGATGTAATTGTCAACAGTTATGACATGTTGAAGTAAACTGTTTAGTTATTCTGTAGACACTAAATCAGTTTGTTGTGATACCACTTTTTTGTATGGGAATAGGTTGTCTTCAATGATAAAGTCAACTTCATTTGTCTTTGTGTTTTTGTTGATTATTTTATTCGGCAGACCTCTGATCACAATGGTTTAACCTTTTCAACATAAATTCATATATGGTTATCGTTTAGAAATTAATCTGGTTCTGTCTAATAATTGTGCTTGCTGACCTGTTTTTGTAGACACATAATAAAATCTATCAGGATATTCATGAGGGTCATTTATGGAGATATCACACTGAAGGGAACATTTTTGTATACAGGCTGATCATGCGTCTCAATAAGGGTTGTGTAGATTGAAACAATAATCCGAGGTCAGAGCAATTGTCAGTCTCCCATGCTGGTTGATAAATCAAACTTGTGTACGATCTCTTCTGATTCTTGACCGCTGATTCACTGTCTGGCTAATTGTTGATGAGCAGAATCGCCTGAGCACACTCTTCTAAAGAAAGAATGAAACGTTGAGGTTGTTCAAGAGTTTAACTCCTAAGGAATTCTACAAATGTTTTGAAAAATAGAAGTATAGATTAGACATGTGTATTGTCACAAACAAGGGGAAGATATAGCACTTTGAAGATAACAGAACTGACCTAAATAGAATTATTTTTTGAAAATTAATTTACAAAATTTGTTGAACTAAACACATCAACTGAAGTATCACTAATGACTATGATGTTAAGCTACTCAAATCATTTACCATGCACTAATATGGCGTGTACTTGGCTTTCTGTCACATTCTAAGTGTGCGGGCATGTGAGTGATATGTGGTTGTCATCTCACGCCAATAATTTTATCAATTCACATGTTTATATTTCCCATATTAATTGCTCATATCGTACTGATGACTGATGTCATCAGACAATGAGATAACAAATTTTCATACAGAATATTTTGGGATTATCACATCTAATAGAAACATATCAGTACACAAACCATGAGAGTAAATAAATAGATGAAAAGTGAATGTTGACACGTAGCCAAATATAAAGTATAACTTGTTAAGTGAGTGAGTGTATATAGTTCAAAAAGGTTCATAGGATAAATGATTAAACAGATACACAAGTACACATAATAGTAAAGTACATATGCAAAAATGAATCATTACGCTTATGATAATATTAACAATGGCATGTTTATCATTCAAATAAAAGCTAAGCCTCGAATAAATTTAAACAAGCGTCAGGATGGGATTCTTATAAATACCACCAAGTTATCTGTAACGAAAGAGATTGGGTGACTTATGATCCAGTTACTTAGGAACCAAAAGTTGTTCACCTTAACCGGTGGACTACCGCACCAAACCTTTTTACACTAAGCAACAGTGACCTGTTATAGTCTATCATTTCTTGGAATCATGAATCAATTTGAGCTTAAAAATCATTATAAACATCAAGGCATTTGATGTTTGTTTCGTCCCAATGTGGGACTCCTCAACATTGGGCACCCACTAGCGCGCCAGCAGGAGTCGTACTCAGGACCTTTGGTCTCGCGCGCGAATACTCAGCCTCTTGACCACCAAACTCGGATCTAATGGTGTACGGGTGTAACTTCAATCAATCCATCTCGCATTGTCGACTGTATTATGAAGACCTCGACATCGGGGGGGGGGTGAGCACGGAATACAATGGACAGCTTGCTTGTAATTAAACGATTTAGACTTCGTAGATGTGCTGGCTCTTCTATCCAATACACATGAACAAATGCAGGTCAAGACAACTAGTGTAGCAGAAGCCTCCGCATCAGTTGGCCTCAAGATACACAAGGGAAAAGGACACATCTTGAAATACAACACAGAGAACAACAATCCAGTTATACTTGATGGAAAAACTAAAAGTTGTGCAATCTTTCACGCACCTGGGAAGCATCATTGGTTAATGTGGATGATGCGATGCAGACGTAAAGACGACGATTAGCAAAGCAAGGGCCACATTCCTACAGTTCAAGAATATTTTGAACTCAAAACAACTGTCAACCAATATCAAAGTAAGAATCTTCAAAACGAACATCAAGACAGTTCTACAGTACAGAGATAAAAATTTGAAAACTACCACGACCATCATCAAAATGGTACAAGTATTTATGAATAATTGTCTACGTAAGATACTGAATGTCCGTCGGACGGATACTATCAGCAACAGAGTTCTGTAGGAGAGAACAAACCAGCTGAAGAGGAAATTAGGAAAAGACGTTGGAAGTGGATAGGATATACATTGAGGAAATCACCAAACTGTATCACAAGGCAAGCCTTAACTTAGTTAGTCACTATTGATTACATGATACTCGTTAGTATGAGGTTGTGGAGTTTATTAAATTTCATTGAAACGATCGTTGTATTAACATAATTCATGAAACCAGTTGTCCGATTCAACATAACTTATTAATTCACTGTGAAATAAAAACTTTTTACACATTTTTATTAAATCCAATAACTATTTTCTACAAATATAAAAACCCCACTCATCTATCAACTACTGAATCTTAGTTTGAAACACTACACAAACATAATTTGATAATTGATATCCATGCTAGTAGCCTTTCATTATGATAGAATTTTACAAGTGTACTAATTGCTGAGTTCATTCACGTATCCCTAAATGAAAAAATGTCATCTAATTGATATTTATTACCGAGTTCATCACCCCATAAAAAGTTTCAGTTTTCCATGGGATAAATTAGCTATCGATCTATCCTATTATCACCCTCTATATGTTTGTTTCTCTTCGTGTACTATTCAGAATTCGACCTTGACCATGATTTTTTCCTACTAAATAGAGTATATCTACATAGATATCTACTCACGTGTTGACACAGTATTACTTGTCTTTAAATTACATCCAGTGTTTTTTAGAAGATAATGAAGCTTCTCTGTGAATACGTTTTCTAGGGTAAATGGAAATACAAAACCTTGTTATCACGATCTTATCTAGTTTAATATAATTAATATAAATTACTATCACATTTAGGAAGATATTTACTTCTAGTTCCTTCGTATTTGATTATACTGTTATGATTACGTGGTGGCAGTAGTACACTTATTCTAAGAAGAACTTCTATACTGTAAGCAACAGCTCTATTTTCTTCTAGCCTTAACTACTACAAAAAACAAATCTTCCTAAGAAGACTCATTGGAAGTAACCAAAAATGATTAAATGTTTATTGGCTTTAATTCAATATGTCAATTAATTAATCAGTGCTTGAAGTCACTAACATGTAGTCTTAGATATGTTAGTAGATATAAACTACTCTGTTCAGGTCCGCACGACTATTGTAACCAACGGTTGGAGACTATGGATGACATGGCTCATAACCGATCACAATGGCGGAGGTGTATACACTCTCTATCTTTCCTTCATATCTTTCTTTCTACCAATTAATTCTTTCTTCCTGTACTATAACCTTACATAAAATCTTTTTTATATGTTACACCATTGAGTTATCTGCTTCTATGAATCTGGTGTTCGTCTTACTGTGCTAATGAAGTATGGCAACTTGAACCGATGCATATATGTACCTGGTCTTACGTTGTAGCTGACTGACTGACTTCAACTAAACATTCATCACTTGAATACAGCATGACAATGAAGTAATTAGTATCAGAAGGGGTTTTTGTGGATATTTTAGTAATTTCAATCGTTGAGATCATGAGTCATTTGAATCCAGACCACCATGGAAAAACTGGAAGCATTAGACGGCTGTTTCATCCTAATGTGGGACTCCTCATTTAATTAATTCAATGAGGTGTCTTGAAATTCAATGAATGATTTCATATAAATAGAATCAATACAATTGAACATATAATAATAGTTGATGAACACAGTGTTCAGTTTCAGTTAGCATACGAATTATTATCACCAACACATGAAGAAAACATCTATAAAAGGTAATATATTTAATTTAATAGTTGAATTCATGAGTCAATTGAAGCTAGACCACCTAAAAGCACTGAACAGTCGTTTCATCCTACTATGGGACTCAGCAGTGCACGATCACGTCTCGCGAGATTCGAACCCAGAACCTATCAGTCCAGTTTTTTCCATGATGGTCTAGATTCAATTGACTGATGAATTCAACTATTAAATTGCTATAATATCTACAAAAACCTTTCTCTGATTATAATATAATTACTATACATTATTACGCAATATGAGCAACCTAATTGATTTCAGTAAAAGAAAAAAAAAGGCTTCAAACATTTTTGATGAAATTAGAAAATCAATGAGTTTTATGATAAAGTGTACTTTTAGAGATGAATCAAGTATGTGACATTTAGGTTTTTTGCTCAAAATGCAAATGTCATATTATGACAAGCAGTAAAATTACTTTTGTAATACTGATCAAAGCGTTAAACATTGAAGCCGATTATTATTTTTATTATCATTAGTTAAACATATGAAATTCTTTAATTGGTTGTATATTTTAGGCAAATCAACTTTTAACTTCACTTGGTATTGTTTGTCTGAATCTTCTCTCATTGATGTTTAGGACTACAATTGATCAGTCTCTTATTGACATATGTGCATCCTATGCGGATTACCTCGATATTATAGCCTTAAGTCATAAGCTTTGTAAGCAATGATGGATAGTAATGGCTAGCAGTTGAATCCAGTTTGAGATGCGTTTCGTCCTATTTGGGACTTGTCAGCTGGATTTACCTTGACCTTAGAGTTGATGTTCACTCTGGGAGTCAAACCCAGTACCTTTCGCTTCAAACGCTATGGCGTTATCCACTTAGCTACTGAGTCCTGATAGGCACTTGCTTCATTCATTAATTATATAAAATTGTCTCTTCTTTCAGAATATTATTGTCTTGTTCATAAAACTATTCATTTACAATAACTGTTATCTGATTAGCTAACAATGAGTTCAGATTTCTCATTATCCTTTCAAGTTTATGTGTTTATCTTACTTTAACTAAATTTTGTGATAGATACTTGTGGTTATGTTGAATCGCATATGGTATGAACGTAATTTTTAAAACTTACTTTTATTGTTTTATACTGGAGTGTAAATGTAATATTTCATATGTTATTCTTCCCACAGAATGGGAATGATATCGATTTAAATGTGGCTCAAAGTCGTTTTATTGTACAACGTTCACATGAAGCCTATCGTGGTTCAGATGAGAGCGGTGAACTAATATTTCTTGAAGTAATATTTTTTTTAATGTTGAATTATATATTTTTAGCGTATTCCTAATATTTAGGGTAGTGGCTAATAGTAAGTAATGTAAAGTACGTCACTAGGCTGGAGGAATGTATATTTAATACGAGAGGTTACAAATATCTGTATATATATATGTCTGGTCTCCACGTGTTATTCTAACTCCGTGCTTTTGATGTACTAAAACATTTCGCTCTGTCTAACAATTCTTGGACCTTCGACGCCACGTTTCGCTACACACTACTTACAAACAATCTTCTGAGTAGTGTCTACTACGCTTGTATAAACATCTAGGTAGGGCATTTGTATGTATGTAGATGTTGGTTAGATATATCCAGTGATGCTGGTTCCCTCCGAGTAAAAATAACATTTATGTACCGAAAGAAAAACAGTTTACATTTGTCTAATATAAACCTACACCATTTACGAAATTGTCGGTTGACGTATTTTCACCAAGTGTTCAATCATTCTAGTTCATATTTGTTTCATTAGCTTTTCCTCTTACTTTCAGTAATCCTTGTTGATTTAGTAGAGTATGTTGTAACCTGGATATATTTTTTGGCAATTGTATATTGAGGGTTGTGCGAAATAATTCTGAGTTGTTATGTTTTTTTGTTTTTTCATTATAACATTAATCGTCTAACCAATATTGCTTAACTAGAGATACCAGAAGTGACGTAATTTATCATAGATGATCATCAGAAGAAGAGGTTTTGTGGATATTATCGTAGTATTGATAGTTGGGATCATGAGTCAATTGAAGCTAAACCACCATGAAAAACCGGGAAGCACTGGACTGCCGTTTCGTCCTAGTATGAGATTCGAACCCAGGACCCATCAGTTTTGCGCGCGAGCGCTTAACCATTAGACCACTGGACCGGCATCCAACAGTGTTAATGTCTAACTTTAACTAATCTACGGAATTGAGCGACATATCCACCATTGTCTTCAGTAAATCACTATCTCACAACAGACCCAGTTGAACTTCACAGGTCACTGCTTCTCATTAGATGATCATCATATGAAAATTATTCTATGTAGCAAATAATCTGAAGATCGAAATGGCAGACCTTAGAATTATTATTGATTAAATTCTATGAAAATGTATTATACACATTAGATACTTGATCATTTTATCCTTAAAGTTTCCTTAGATCTCGTTTAATCAGATTATTAAAAAAGTCCCAAAACTAATCTAAAACAGTTATTCAACCATTCATGACTTGATATATATATCGTTCAGCTAATGTTTATTTAGTCATCTATTTGAACACATAAATATTGGTACAAGAGGGCACCAAATGTATATGCGCCACACAAAACAATGAAAATTTGAAGAGAATAAGGAAAAAAGTAAGGAGCGTAAAAAAATAACAATGATGAATAGATTAGTGTAAGGTAGCGTAATAATAGTAATAATAATAGGAGAGATGGAAAGGGACAACCATAAAGAATTCCTTCAGTTCAGGAAGAAGCCACCACTTTTTATGAAGGAATTAAAAGAAGGTTACAGCAGGATCGCCACTGGCTTCTATTTTGAGCCATATCTGATAACGTCTCTAGCCACTGTGTTGCACCATCTCTTGGACCCCAACCAGAGAGTCGTGAAGGACCAACAGAAGCCAGCCCTTGTCAGCTTTCTTTCATACAACGACATCATGTCATACACTGACCACCTCTCCGCTTTTTCCAATCAGTCCCGGCGTCGGCAAATAATGCACGACGTGGAATTCTCTGGGATGACATTCGTAGAACATGTCAAAGCCACTGAAGTCGGTGTTTCAAGACAGTGACGCCGATTGCATTATCGTCTCTGTGCCCGAACACACGATGCCGAACCTCTATAATAATAACATAGTGTTGCCACTGGATGTCAGCAATCCTTCGGAGACAACGATGATCAAACACAGACAGTCGTCTAACATCCTCATGTATCAGTTAATTATAAGTAATACTATTTACTTTGATTACTTTCATTCTACTATTATGATTTCATAACAAACACATTTGGAAATGTACAAAGAGGTACCTCTTAAATGATTATCCTAAATTTTCTTTCATTTTTTTCTTGGTGTCTAATTATTATTAGGTTTGCTCTGATTATCTATTAATTCGTAATTTATCTGGACGTATATTAGAACGTTTATGGTATGATCAAGTGATCAATTTAACGTATAGATCACATACACATATATTATGCATTACAAGACAAATATTTGATCATTCACAAATGGATTTATTTTATACTCGTAAAGTAAGTATACTGATTTGGATTCGTTTTTTTTTATTCATTGAGTGACTTGAATAACGTAGAACCAGGTACATATATGCATCGGTTCAAGTTGCCATACTTCATTAGCACAGTAAGACGAACACCAGAATCATAGAAGCAGATAACTCATTGGTGTAATATATAAAAGATTTTATGTAAGGTTATAGTACAGGAAGAAAGAATTAATTGGTAGAAAGAAAGATATGTAGCGATTTTAATCTCATAGTTTAAGGGAAGACAAAGAGTGTGTATACACCTATGCCATTGTGATCGATTCAGAGTCATGTCACACAGAGTCTCTAAACATTGGTGATGACATGGTGTCGGTAACTTATATCCACACATGTAGTATATAACAGTGGTTAGGCATATAATATGTTTCAGTAGAATGTCGATGAGGAAAGAACGGAAACGGAACGCAGTTGGTATGAAAATGTATGAACAATGAAGTCTGAGACAATGGATTGATCTTTGCGATAGGAACGGTCAAGTTTAAGATGATGGATTGAAATTTTGCAAATTAACGATTTGCTGTATTGTTCTCAGATTTTGTTGAGATGCTCTGTAATTTTGCGCTCAAATACATTCGATTGTCCCCACTGGTGTTCTGTTCACTACAATGATATTCACACTACCTCAACCAAGTAGTCCGCATGTACCAACATGGCTCAGACTAGAAGTTAGTGACTTCAAACACTTATGCCACGTTTTTGTTCGGCCCCCCTAACTTTCTTCCAACCATCCCCAACACTAGTTAGCATTGCACGTCGTGGTAATCGGTGTTCAGGCATACGTAACACGTGTCCCAACCATCTCATTCGATGAAGAATCACAACCTCATCAACTGATTTATCACCCTTCCCTAATACTCTGTGTCTAACCTCAATACCTAGTGATCCCAGCAGATGCCGGCAATATTTCTAAGGCATCTGTGGTCAAATACTAGTAGCTTACGAGTGTCTTCTACTCTTAATGGCCACATTTCGCAGCCGTAAAGTTGAACAGAACGAACTGCCGCGCAGTTTACACATCCCTTAAATGGTCTTGCCTTCGCCATAGATGATGTAAGTTGGCAAAAGCTAAACAAGCTTTTCGAATCCGTGCAGAGATTTCGTCAGAAACCAACCCATTAGGGCTGATCAGACTTCCTAGATAAGTGGAGTTGTCAACGCGTTCGACTACATTACTCCCCATCCTAAGTTCTGATGTTGAGACAGGCCAGTCCTGGAGGAACATCTTGCATTTAGATGGAGAGAAGCGCATCCCAAACATTCTGGCATTTTTGCTTAGTGCTGCCAAAAGACTTTGCATTTTGTCAGTGTCTTCGCCAAACAAGACTATATCATCTGTGTATTCTAAGTCGATAAATGGACCTCCTGGAAGAAGATCAAAGCCCGAAAATTCAGTCGATCAGAATCATTATTGATTCCAGTAGTTGTTATATGACATATTGCTTAACTTTTTTAGGAATGCATAACTAATATTTTGTTAGATTTATGTACAATTTGTATCATCCAAGTAAACTTCAAGGAAATATATGCAAAGTTATAGATAGATTATGAATAAATGAATTGACGAATTTACTTTTTCTACTATCTATTCATACTACTCATTATTTTTATTATTATATTGAGGTGAAACTTCAATTTGAAGTAATAATGTTCGTGAACATATTGTGATTTGACAGTGTTATCTGATGTTCACACGACTGTCGTCAATTTGACCTATTATTTCATGTGTCTTGATGTGTTTTGAATCAAGAATTAACATTTATTTGCACACATAAACATTGCTAAAAGGAGGCACCGAATAGATATGTGCCACATTAATCATTCGATTTGTGTGAGGGCTGGGATACTAGCCGCGTGCCTAAACCTAAGCAGGTGGTTTTCTTAAGGGGTCACACTCCGAGCCTTTGACCTGAAGGTCTAATCCACAAGACAGTGGAGCAACGTAAGGAGATGCTAACCCATGACAGCCAGTGACCAACAATAGGTTCATACGCCATTTATTTCCTTCAGGATCATGGAGTCCATGTGCAACATTGGTTTGGAATAAGGGTTTTTCAACTCCCCTAGGTGGTTACTATATACCCACCAACCCCATCACAGCGTCGGACATTCGCTTTTCGTTCTCTCAATTTCGTAAACAACAGTAATGTCGCGAGAATGCAGTAAGTAGGAGTTTCCTGTCGATGGTTGTATAGGCGTGGTCATGTGAGATCACTTCGAGAGGGAGAGCGGACTCTTCCCATTCTAGGCCATACCAGGGCATTCGGGGGATTCGAACCTGGGACTACTCGCACTCTTCAAGTGCATTAAACGGTTTACTTTGCCCACTTTTAGTATTTTTTAAGTAAGTTTTGGTGTACGCGCTTACGGAGATACAAATAAATTTCAAGCCGTTGTTGCAACTTTACTTACATGCTCATATTTGTTACATTCTTCTTTTCTTATCAGTCTCGTTTAGTTTATCAACAGATCAAAGAATCAATGAAAAATATATCTGTAGAAGCTTCACATGGAATATTAAGTTAGTTCTATTGTCTATGTTTTGGCTAGAAGTATTATATGACATATATATGATATGAATCAGTTAAATATAATTTATTATTATCGTTTTCACAACCTCGAACCAACCAGAAGTCTAGTATACCTTCACAGTAGAAGCGGAAGAGCTTGACACAGGATTACTTTGAACATTTTATTCCGAAAATCCTCTTCAGCACCAATCAATACCATCGTAACTACTGTCTCAGAAAAAACGGTTTAACACTTCGCAGCAACAGATTTTCAACACATGATACTGCATAGAATCCAAATTCGAAATCACCTTTTTTCTAACGTCTGAATTTTCCAATTCAACGACCATCGAATACTGAAAAACTATCACATCATCGGCTTAACTTTGTGTGGATTTCTGGGCTGGAACTGTTGTTGACTAGCAAAGTAGATTGTCCATCGACTTCAGAAGTTTTCAATTCGACAACTGTTCGTGCACTTCCGAATTTTCTTTTTATCTCATATTTGTTCATTATTTCTGTGTTGCTAAAAACAGATATAAGTAGTCAAAATAATGATTTCAAATATTTCATTCAATACCTGTTCACATCCAATTTCTTTAATTAATATAATACAGTATTACATTCTTTATGTGTTTGTTTCTTCTCCTATCTCATCAAATTAATCGACTGAAGCTTTTGAGATATTACGATCAATGTTTGCGACCGATTAATTTGACCAAATGTTCTTGACTTTTTGTTTATTTTGAACGATCTTAAAGTATTAACCTTGTGATCAGTGTCAAGTCGTAGACAGGCAGTTACACTGTTTAAAACATGTTGGCCTCTTAACCTCAGTTGCTGTAAAACTTTTTTCCGAGATGCAAAAAGTGATTCTTCCTTACTGCGACTTCAATGTAATTTCTTTGGCATGTACATTTAAGCTAGTAAATGCAATTGTAGATGGGTGCCTGGACTGAAGCAGATGGCATTCTTATTGGGCCATTCTTTGCGCCTTTGGTCAGGTGGTCTAATCCATAAGGCAAGAGAGTCATGTTAAGGCTTCCATGCGGTCCCATGGAAGCCGGTAGTGACCAATGTTCACCATTTGTTTTTCAACTCCCCCAGGGTGGATCCTCCATACTCACCAATCCGTTTAAAAAGCTGGAAATTCGCTTTTCGTCCTCTTAATTTCATAAACAACACATCCAGCACATAAAGACAGTGAATTAGACTTCCTTAGCAGTAACCGTATAAGCCTAGCCGTGTGAATTCACTTAGAGAAGTAGTGCGGTCTCTCCTCATAGTATTCAGAGGCTTTGTAATTGTTAGTAAGATTTGTACACAATTTTTCGTAATTTTGTAAAATTTCTTTCTAATCTCATCTAGATGGTGATTTGAACGGTGAAATTAATGCAACTAATTTGGATAACAATCAACCTGGTACTATTAGTATCTTACCAGATGGATTCGTTATCAAATTCGGTGATGAGCAGGTTAGATTTTATTATCTTAAACATGATTAAACTCATGTGTGTATTTTCAGACGTGCACCTATATATATATATATATGTATATACGTGCACGATGTGAGGGTTATTTAATGTATCTTTTTTATGGCCCTTTGCCGGTTGTACTGTATACATTCATGTTGTTGTTTTTATTATCGTACAGTGGACAGTCGTGGAGTTATGTCACATCTCTAAACGTCATCAACAGCTGTTTAAAAGATCCAACGTCGATGAGACCTTTTTAGTGTCTAACCGTTATTCTTCGAAAAAGGCATCCTACTTACGCTGAAATTGTGTCATTTTACTTGCTCCTGCATAAATCCAATTTGAATATTACTATTTTAGTGACCCTATATATGAAGAACGTAGAACAAGTTAACACTAAAGTGCAAAGTAAACAACTAGATGGGCAACAGAGACCATTGCTCGAAATATAGATTTTAGTACTCGTGGTGATTTTGTTACATTTGTGATTAACAACTAAAATTCCGAATCATGAAATCTCAATGATTTGGTATACAGTGTTCTTCATTCGTTAATGACTTCATCTTTTTGGTACTTTTAATTAGACCTCTGATATATTCTTCATCGAGTATTATTATTATTATGTTCATCACTCTCTTTCTATTTCAGAAATTTATCAAATTACATAATATTAAACGTTGTTGTACAATAAAATCGGAAATATTTACGATTGATGTATACGGTAAGTGGTTCATGATATATATTTTTTTATTTAATAAAATCAAACACACTTCCATTTAATAGTTGAGTTCATGAGTCAATTAAAACTACACCATTGTGGAAACATTGGACGGCCGTTTCATCCTAGTATCAGACTCCTCAGCGTCCACGATCCCGCTCGCGTAACCGACGGTCCTAGGTCCGAATCCCACCCTCAGGCTCGTGGATGCGCACTGTTGAGGAGTCCGGTACTAGGAAAAAACGGCTATCCAATGCTTTCAGGTTTTCTATAGGGGTGTAGCTTTAATTGACTCATAAACTACAATCTACACAAAAACCGTCTTCTGATAATAATTAGATCTGTTTTAATCTGACTAAAGGGCATTTTCTGTCTCATCATTCTACACTATTTAAACCTGTGTGAATTCTACTTGGTTATTTATCTATTTATTTTGAAGACGTGAGTTACACTGAGTCATAAAATGTCATAAACTGGAACTTCTACTCAATAATATATCATAATTTTATTACTTATATCCTGCTCAATGTTCAGTTTTTTTTCGAAATAATGAAGTCAAAGTTTAGTATTAATGCCTGAAATCAGTCTTTCTTGATAGTTCCATTGGTAGATGTTTATTAAAATTCCCCTTAATTATTTGAAACCACTGGTTGAATTTTGTTAAGCGACTATTGTCAAAACCTACCAGCCTTAAATAATACCTATTTGTTTCCTTCAGCTAAATTAACCTTGAGAGTAAATTGTTTTTCATGATTCCACCTTCTAGTATTCGTTAATAGTTCATAGTTTCAATGTCAGTTAGGAAAACATTATCTCGAACTCTGAGTTTTCCCTTGACATACCACCAGGAATTTACGTTGTTACCAAATTTAGTAATAATTATTTATATCAGAAGGGGTTTTGTGGAGATTGTAGTAATTTCAATAGTTAAGATCATGAATCATTTGAATCTAGACCACCATGATACTCCTCGGCAACACACATCCACGACCTCACCTCGCGGGATTCGAACTTAGGACCTATCCGTCTAGTTTATTTAAAAGTCATTTCCACTTAAATGGTGATGATCCAGTAACCTGGTACATACAAAAATACCAAATTAACTAGCTGTTCACCCTTGAAATATCTTTAGTTGCTCTGATGCAACGATTTTTGCGTATATGAATTCGTTGCTGATTATTTTCAGTAACTAGAAGATACTGTCTCTTTTCCCTTCTGTCACATACACACACACACACACTACTGATCCTTAAGTCTCGGTACCCATATTGGCGTAATATGAAAAATAGTTGTATATCTCATTCCACTCTAGTCCCATCAGTGGTATGACTTGTGTCATTGATCATTTAGGTCTTTATACAAATAAATATATAATAGCTGGTTTTGTAAACGTTTCTTATTTCATTACAATTTTTATCATTTTTATTTCCTACTTCAAATAAATATCAGATCAAGAGAAGAAAGCAATGATCACTTATCGATTTCAAACGGATATGGTATGTTTATATTTGATAGAATTAATTATTCTCACTATATCTTCCATTGTATTCACTTCATTTCTATTTTCAAATATGAATGTATGCAGTAGATTTCCTATAAGATGAATCACACATTACATTACTGTTGGGATATTCAGAAAAATATCCTGTTAAGTCTAATTCTATCCTTGGACTTGAAATGGTATCATTTTCCTATTGGTCAATACTTATTTCACGTGTCATTTTCCTGTTGGCCAAATCTTGTACAAATGTTATTTTCTATTTTATGGTACGTTGTGGTCTGTCTGATTGATATATAAACCCCGTACGTTTGAAATAAATGATTCGTATTTCAGAAACTGGGATTTGTACTCTGGACATAACAGGCAGATCTAGGCGGAAAGCAGGGCCAATCGGGACTCTAGGCTGCTTGTACTTGTTTTATGTATCATTGATCCGATCAACAATCCACTGCTCTCAAATCGGCGGTCACAAGTTTTAACGATTACATCCTACGCAGACGCCCTCTTCATTTTTTTCCTGCATGAACATCAATTAGCAGTGAAACGCCATGGCATGTCCTCACTTATATCAACGCACGTGGACAGCTGTGCACACACAATCGACTGGAAAAATGTGTAAATTGTAGATAGAGGCAATTCGAAAAACAGCAGAGAATTTTTAGAAGCTTGGCGCTCAGGTCAATCAACAATCGATAATCACATTGAAATCGATCCGATTTATCAACCAATTAGGAAGATTATGGACAAATATAGGAACAAAAATCAAACTAGTGGGAGATACAACCAAAACGAAGAAGTAAACAATGACAGGTATAATGTTAACAAGAACCAATCAACATGGAGGTGTACAGGACAAGTTGTGAACCACATGTGAAGAAATTCGAACACTTCACGTTTACCTGACGTTTATCCTGATGATGTCGTTGAGAAGAAGAACGATGAAATCTCCACGACCAAACTATCCAACTTAGAGAACAAAACTCGATCAAAGAAGCAACATTATCACCGTTGTTATTGGTTAGTTGAAGTCATTGAAATGAACTGTGGATTGATGTATAATGGTTTAGAGCTTTGAAATGTTTGAAAATTCGTAATGTATAAAACTTTCTAGTCAGAATATGATTGTGTGTCAATCAGTCAGCTACAAAATAGGACCAGGCACATATATGCATCGGTCTAAGTTGCTATACTTCATTATCAGTATGTCAGATAAAGGTTTTAAAACACTCTTTATTCTATAGATTTATTCTTCAAATTAGAGATACATGATCACAAAGCAACGCAATTAATAAATCCTAATAGGTACGTAATTAAGACATTTTCGAAACAAAATTAAGAGAATCTTCATCGACTGTGATGGTTGGGCCACGTGTTATATATGCCTGAACACTGATTACCACAACGTGCAACGGTAACTGGTGTTCGGGATGGTTGGAAGTTAGGGGCGGCCAAACCCAAAACGTGGCATCAGTGCATCAGTCACTAACTTCTAGTCTGAGCCATGTTGGTAGATGCAGACTACTTGGTTGGGGTCCGCGTGACTATGGTAACCGATGGTTGGAGACTCTTGGGGACATGGCTCATAACTGATCACAGTGGCATCCGTGTATACGCTCTCTGTCTTCTCTTAAACTATGAGATTAAAATCGCTTCATATCTTTCTTTCTACGAACTAATTCTTTCTTTCCGTATTATATCCTTATATGCAATCTTTCTTTTATATATTATCACCTCTGAATTAACTACTTTTATCAATCCGGTGTCCATCTTGTTGTGTTAATGAGGTATGGCAACTTGGATCGGTGCATATATGTGCCTGGTCCTACGTTGTAGCTGACTGACTGACTAAAAGAAAGAAAAAATCACATTTACACTTGTAGGGTTAACTTGTAAGTTATAAATGTTAAAAGATATAACACCGTAGACTTTTTGTTGTTGTTCTAATTAACGTATCTAGACAGTCTATTTGCATCATATTTAGCGAATGTTTATTCCCTAATAAAGTTCTAACCGACATTACTCAGTTTGAATAATCAAGAAGGTTACTAAAATTCTTATCGAAGTTGTGTCTAGACAATTTTTTTTCCATTTTTTCAACATTTGAAAGATGATTATATTCCTTTTAATATTCTATTGTTATCCATTGAAATCTCTATAGGCTTTAATAATTTTAAGCTTATGGAAAAGTATCATTGAATCGGCTCTTCGACCTAAATTGAAGAATATGACAAAGTGATGATTGATGATCATGATGATTGGTCAGTTTACTGTTGGACCCCAATATGTTGTCTGTGAATGTGTTTGTTGTTGTTGTCGTTATCGTCGTCGTCATTGTCATCGTCATTTTTACATTGAATTGCTCTATATTGTCTCCGTTTTCTTTGTGTTACTTTTTAAGTCGAATTTTATTTATATGAGTTTTATGAAGTAAAATTACATACTTACTTACTTCAATAGTTCACTCAAGTTTTAAAGCCTAATCTGTCATAGCTTATAAGGTAATTGTACTATTACATACTGTCTGTGTATATTTTTGAGTTGAATGCATCCATACAAAGCTATATTGATCTAGGTTGCTAATTAGTTTTATATATCTAATATGGTGATTAAGAGCATATGTGACTCATGTGCTGCATATCAGCTTAGCTCAATAAGTTGTTGTTCGAACCAAATTTACAATTCTCATCAAGTACCCTTTCTACTACCTTCATTTGATTGAAAGATATACCGGATCAAATACTATCAATGTGATTTTAGCCTTCAATAAACAAGTTTTATAGCCATATTACATAAATGACATAAACCTTCTGGGTTGCATGAATGATCGTGAACTACCTATAATTATTAAAACTTCACCCCATTGAACAATCAAATGACTATCAGGATTCAGTAGCTAAATGAATAGTGTGATGACGTTTTGAAGCAAACAGAATTGAGTTCGAATCCCAAATAGGATTCCACTGCTAACCATTATCCATCTTTGTATATATAATAATACTTATGTTCACTTTTATGTTTTTTTCTTCTTATTTCAGACAACTCATTTATTTCAAAATTTTGTATCACTTTTCTCAATGTCATCATCATCTTCATCATTGAAGTAATTCATTTACTCTGGGATAATTCAAAAATAATCAAATAAATCAATGATGTCATAGCAACTAATCATAATACATTGGGATACATACAAAGGAAATAACATTTTTTTTTGTTGTTGTTGTTGTTACTTGTTATTGTTCCCAAATCAATTCTGTATGTACATGTGATGAATGTATTTTAAATGTTCACCTCCTGTATTTTATTCTTGTTCAACAATTAATTGTCTTCCTTATAATATACACATTTCAATATTCTTTCATTTTTTGTAGATGTTGTGATCATGAGTATGTGTGTGTGTGTGTATATTTCTTCTCTACTTGATGGTTACATAACTTACTTTAGATTGATTGAAGAGAACAATGTTGTATACATTTTGGTTTCTATTACATTTTATTCTATGTATCACAAGTGAAAGTGATCGAATTGCCTCTATTGTTTCAGTGCCTGTTGTCGTTATTCAATTGTATTGACAAATGATTATCAATACTTACTTACTTAATTACTTACGTATGCCTGTTACTCCTCGTGGAGGAGCATAAACCACCCATCAGCATTCTCCATCCAACCCTGTCCTGAACAATTCTTTCCAGTTCTTTCTAATTGTTATTCATCCTTTTCATATGTGCTTTGATTTCTCGACGTAATAATCATTATTATAGTTCAGGTTATGTGTTTAACATCATTTCAAAAGATACCATTTCATTATATATTTTCATTTATTCACAATTATCTGTATGATGTTTCAAATGGCTTTTTCCTCATGACTTCATTTGCTTTGTATAAGTCATTAGTTACGTATTTGGTTATCAATGATCTTTTGTTACTATATTTCTAATTCATTATCACTGTGATATTTATATTCTCTATCAGTTAGTCTTTCCCTAATATCATTTTCACTATTATAACAATCATACAGATATTTTTTTCGTATTGTTGATGATCCATTTCTTTCTTGTTCCCTCCTCTTTCCTCCCTCCTTACAACTCATTATTATCTTTATAATTGAAGATGAAATCTTGATATAACTTTCTAGATTGTTGATTATAAATTTCTTTGTGTTTTTGTCTGTTACTTCATTTACATTCCATGATAAAATGGGTTATGGTAAGATTTGTTTAGTTGTATTTTGCAAAATCTACACTCTATTATTATTCATATCACTTTGTATCTGTGTGGTAATGTTGATATAGCAACTTGAACTGATGTATTTTGCATACATACTTACGAAATTCTATGTTGTTACTGACTGGCTGACTGACTGACTGATTAACATCATCTTCACATACACATTCCTCGTTGTATATGTCAATTTGTTTGAGAAATGACTTTTCATCGGTATTATTATTATTATTATCAGTCGTAATATTGTTTATTTGTTGCAGTTTTCTTAATGTAAAAATTTCGATCATTTGTTATAATACAATTTGATTGAACCCAATCATTTTCTTACTAAAAAATAAAGAGGAGACAATAAATTGAATTAGATTAAAAGATTAATTATAGTGGATATTGAGCTACAATGATTATTTCAATGGTTGAGGTCATGTGTCATTTGAAGCTGGACCACCATGAAAAACCGGGAAGCACCAGACGACCATCTCATGGGACTCCTCGACAGTGCGCATCCACGACACCGCCACGTGAGATTCCGACCCAGGACCTATCGGTCTCGCGCGCGAACACTTAACCTCCAAACCACTGAGCGGGCATCCAATTATACTAATGTCTTACCACAACTAATCCACGAAATTGAGCGACACATCCCTCATTGTCTTCAGTGAGTTTCTATCCCACAACAGACCCGGTTAAACTCCACTGCTTCTTATTAGAAATCCAGGAAATACCACTTGAAGCCAGTTACTAGTGAGCATATGTTGGTTCATATCAGAAGGGCTTTTTGGATATAGTTGAGATGAATGGAGTTGCCATTTCCGATTTTTTTTATTACATCGGGTATAACCAAAGTGTGATAAAATGTTTCAAGTAATTCGATCTCAGAAAATACCATTAATCCCACCATGTGTTTGCGAAGTTGTGAATATGTGTGGTTAAGTGTACCTAACCCTACTTTGCACAGTGTAGTTGCCTCATACACTCATTTCATCTGAACTACATGTAATACTGATAACCACTAGGTTTGGAACGGGCGTATATCTTCAAACTGCAATACTTCACTGAATTACTCTTTGACCGACTGTAATCATGTTGCATCTGGCTTTTGTGAATTAATTGGTAGTGTCGGATCCCTAACAGTTATTTGAATGGAGATTGACTCATTGTATAAACGACATCTGCACGTAGTAGATGATTCAACACAGGGATTTGCTTTAGATGCTTAGCAAACAATTGCTGTGACGAAATCCCATTTTCGACTCATATGTTGATGGAAGGAAATATCCACTGAAACCTCATTTTATCGTAGAAAATCAACGCCTATTATGGAAGAATAGTGGTGTTTGCACGAAACGATGATTGGTTGGTTTCTATACAACCGCTCACTTTATTCTAACCATTGCGTTCAGAGTATTCACCTTTCTTCGTTATCGAGTTCAGTAACAGCTAACAGAGTGTTCATTTTGTACAGATTGAGGGATTTTCGGTGCATACACCCGACCAAATTACATTACTTATTATCAGAATGAGTTTTGTGGAGAGTTTTTTAGAAATTTCACAGGTTGAAGTCATGAGTCGATTGAAGCTAGACCACCATGGAAAACCTGGAAGCACTGGACGGCCGGTTCGTCCTAGTATGGGATCGTGGATGCGCACTACTGAGGAGTCCCATACTAGGACGAAACGGCCTTTCAGTGCTTCCAGGTTTTGCATTACTTATTGTAAGATTGTGTGCTTGCTTTGGTCCGATTTTAAGTATGCTACTTATAAGTAACTACATTTCTAGTAATAAATATATATCACACGAGAAAGTTTAATTAAATATATGGTGTGGTATGCGAAAATAACCGAAATACAAACAGTGAATAAGAAATTGCTGTTCATATGCCTACAATTCAGAGGGTATACGTCTAGCGAAATATCAACTCAGAGATTAGGCAGGTCAATGCAAAACTCTTTCAACGCTGATTGATAGATATTAATGGTTTACCAAACAATGATCATACTCTATCTAGATGGTGCCCAATAAGCATCATTTCAATCATGAAATCCGTCATGGTCATTTATCAAAAACCGACACATTCAAATCGGTATGTGATTTTAACTCTGCACATCCATTCAGTACAAAAATGCCCGTAGCACTAAATTATTTCGGAAGAGTAATCAAGATGATTACCTCAGTAGAAAACCAGCTGAGAGGAAAAACGAATGCCATCGAAGTACTATAATGTATTAATTTTCGTGAAATTATTATTATAAACATATTAGAACACAACTTCCCTTCTGGAAACAACAGACCTAATGAACGATGTTGGATTGGTACTGTGATTTTACTTACGTCCAAGGTTCAACAGAAGTACTACAACAGATAATAAAAGCGAACAAAATTAAAACTTTTTATAAGACAACTAACACTCTAAGAAACGCTTTAGTTAGAATTACAGATAAAACTCCATTCGTTTTCATTCAAAATTGTGTCTACAGATTAGGCTATATCGATTATAATGCGTTGTCCTATATTAGAGAGTTTTCCCGTGAAATCTCGACTGATGTCAAAGAACATTTAAGTTACACAAAATGACCTCATAACAATCCTATAGAATTAGAAATCTTACAGGTCAAATCAGCAATAGCAGTACATGCTACTTTGAAAAATCATCAAATCGATATTAAAGAAATCAAATGAATTCGGAAAGTCTGTTCCAACTGTCAAGAGAGGCGAGTAGTTGAAAACGTTTCACATAATGCTAAATCCCTCTGACCTCATTAGGAAAGAAGGTCTGAATATTCATCGAATCTGGACTGTTTCTCCAAACAACCACATTTAATCTTATTATTTTGTTACACACAGTCTGCACATACACACACACATAGACGTCCCATTCAAACCCATTACTTCATATTACAAATGTGTACATTTTTCATACCAATAATCTGACACACAAATTGATACAGTGAAAAGCTATACAAATTCACCATTACTAAGAATTACTTGACATTGATATATTCAGATCTTTTATGATATTGATTATACTAAAAAACATTCTGCTTTGTTTACTTACTTACGCCCGTTACTCCTCGTGAAGGAACATAGGCCGCTCACCAGCACTCTCCATCCAACCCTGTCCTGAGCAATCCTTCCCAGCTCCTTCCAGTTGTTATACATCCTTTCCATATCTGCTTTTATTTCTCGACGTAATGTGTTCTTTGGCCTTCCACTCTAACACTTCCCTTCAGGATTCCAAATTAGTGCTTGTCTCGTGATGCAGTTTGATGATTTGCGTAATGTATGTCTCATCCATTTCCATCGCATTTTCCTGATTTCTTCTTCAGCCGGAAGCTGGTTTGTTCTCTCCCAGAGAAGGCTGTTGTTGATGGTATCCGGCCAATGGATGTTGAGTATCTTGCGTAGACAGCTATTTATAAATACTTGTACTTTCTTGATGATGGCTGTAATAGTTCTGCAAGTTTCAGCTCCGTACAGTAGAACTGCCTTGACGTTTGTATTGAAGATTCTCACTTTGATAGTGGTTGGAAGACAGTTGTTTTGAGTTCCATATGTTCTTCGATTGTAGGAATGCGGTCCTTGATTTTCCAATCCTCGCCTTTACGTCTGCATCTGAACCTCTTTGTTTATCAATTATGCTTCCCAGGTATTTGAAGACTTCTACATCTTCCAGAGTTTCGCCATCAAGTGTGAGTGGATTGGTGTTCTCCGCTTTGAATTTGAGGACCTTGGTTTTCCCCTTGTGTATACTGAGGCTTACTGATGCAGAGGCTGCTGCTACACTGGCAGTCTTTATCTGAATTTGTTCATGTGTATGCGATAGGACTGCTTTTTTTAAACTTATGTTAATTTATTTACTCTGAAGAAGTGACTTGCAATAAGTGACGAAACTTTAGAATGCAATTTTTCTATTCATTAGGAATAAAATATATTTATTACTAACTCTCTACCGAGTGCTCAATTTATTTGAAATTTTAATAGCTGAGATTATGAGTCAATTGAAGCTAGACCACCATGGAAAACCTGGGAGGTTCCGAGGTTCAAATCTCGCGAGACGGGATCGTGGATGCACACCTTTGAGGAGTCCCATCCTGGGACGAAACGTCCGTCCAGTGCTTCCAGGTTTTCCATGGTGGTCTAACTTCAATTGACTCATGCATTCAACTATTAGAATTACTATAATATCCACAAAAACGCCTTCTGATATTACTTGAAATTATCACGTCCAACCCTGGAATTGATATCTATAACTAGTAATTTTATTGTGAAATTCCTTTGATAAGTCCGTCGTAAACTAAATAAACACTTACAAACCTTTTATCTATATGATCAGATTCAAATGATTAATTTGTCTTTGTGTGTATGGAGTTCTGGTTAGCGTCAAGACAGTTCTACTATACGAAGCTGAAACGTGGAGAACCACTACAATCATCAAGAAGGTACAAGTATTTATAAATAGCTGTCTACGCAAAATAATCAACATACATTGGCCGGATACCATCAGAAACAGCTTTCTGTGGGAAAGAACAAACCAGCTTCCAATTGAAGAGGAAATTAGGAAAAGAATTTGGAAGTGGATAGGACATACATTACGGAAATCATCAACCTGCCTCACGAGACAAACCCTAACTTGGGATGCTGAAGGGGAACGGAAAAGAGGAAGGCCAAAGAACACATTACTTCGGGAAATAGAATCAGACATGAAAAGATGAATAACAACTGGAAATAACGGGAAAAGATTGCTTAGGACAGAGTTGGATGTACAGTGCCGGTGGTCAGCCTATGCTCCTCCACGAGGAGTAACAGACGTAAGTAAGTAAATTTATGAAGTATTGACTATTACTGTGAAGTTCAGTGCCTTCATTTTACATTTATATCTTAAACTAATCATTAATAATTGTATAGTCATTCTCTTATTCCATTCAATAATATATATATACTCAGGTGGAATCTCGCTGATGATGTCGCCCAAATGCTTATGTAAAGCAGCCATTGAAATACTAACCGTTTGACAATCGAATTCCGTATCCAATGTTTCTCAACTCATTATATTTGTTATCGGTAACCATTAAATTCCTGTTAGTGGACATCCTGTTCATATAGAGGCAGTGGATCGGATGTCATTACCAGTGCCATAACAGAGTGATCACAATCATACACAACCAGAGAAATATTGGAAACACTAAGTGCAGAACAATAGTAATAATTACTATGATCAGTCTTTTGTTATGTATGTTTCAGGTTGTATTGTGATCTACTGTTAAGGATAAACTAGATTTAAATCAGTGAAGTTTACCAGGAACGGTATAAGTGTAA